CATAAAGTACAACCATAACTACAATCATATAAACAGAAATCTGTTTTCTAGCAATATATTGGGGGGGACATTTTGAGCATATTTGAATACGGCCTTGCAAGACATGCAGTGAACTGGTGCCAATTTTCCCACCAAGCTCTGCAGTTCTCTGTACTCAGGCGTTGTCGGAAGACCCGGAGAAACCTCACGCATGCGAGAGGGAAATACTTTCATGGATGGAACATATGGAGTCCATATTTGCTGTACCTTACCCTGTCGAGCCAGGGTATGGCACCACCTTGACGCTCATGGGATTGGAGTTTGAAAAGATGCGTGTGATCTACCAACACAACATATATGGTCCCCAGAAACAGACTTTGCAGCAGAGTCCTACGAATGAACAAAACCGGTCAACAGTTGGTTTCTCTGGGTCTCCCCGCTGCTGTCAGTCCGTCAAATGTATTTAACTATTTGGCCTCGGACTGCACGCTGCGGCACTAAAGGTATGCCGCCTGCAACACGTGTGGTGACGTTAAGGGTGTCACTATGGTGTTAGCGCCAGGCACAGTCATAAGAGTGCTACTGTGCGTCGGGAACATCTCTCTGGGGCCAGAGTGAGTGCGGCATGCGAACGGGCCCTCTTGGGCATCGTCCTGGTGACGGCCTGAGAGGGCAAGTCAGGGCATGGTACACTGGGAGAACCCGGGAGGGCACGTGACCTGGACAGGGTAGTGAGAGGGGCTCGAGGGGGGCTTGAGGGACACCGTGATGCTCGGTCGAGAACCTTCGGGAAAGGTCTCGAAGGGGGCGTGTTCGAGGGCGGAGCGAGGCCACGCTCAGGAGCATAAAGGGGCAGTCCCCGGAGTGTTCTTGGCTGTTCTCTGCAATCAACTCTCGGCGCCATGTCTCTCCGATCTTCGGTCTCTGCTCGGCATTGTGGGTCAGTCCGGTCGTTACTGACCCGGTTATGTAGTTACCCTGTTAGGGTCTAGAGTGTGGACGTTTATATAGTTAGCCCTGTTGGGGCTGTGTAATAAACGTGTTGCCTCCAAGTCAAGTGTGTGCCAACGTGTTCAACACTACACACGTATTTGATTCCGTGGCTTGTGTTATCTTAAATCAGCGGTCGGGAACCTATGGCTCGCGAGCCATATATGGCTCTTCCGGTGACGGCATATGGCTCCCAGACAATTTTGAGTTGAAAAAAATAATAATAATAAAATAAAATCAATTTGGAACTGATTTTAAAATACTTGTGATATTGCTTAATAATACTGTGTCATTTTAAAGTAAACAGAAATTAGTTTTGAAGATAAAATTTCTCGGGTCACGGGTCCCGTGACCAGAAGTCGCATTAAAAGTAAGACATATTTAATTTATTATACGTAAAAAATACTATATATATTTAGAAATATTTGGCTTTTATGGCTCTCCCAGTCAAAAAGGTTCCCGACCCCTGTCTTAAATCAACGAGGACCCGACCCTTCCTGATTAGTCCCCAGCCTTTTCCTCTGCGCCTTTCCTTTTTAGGACCTGCCCACTTCTTGTTTAAACCCCGCCCCTTTCTCTTTAGGCCCGCCCCTTCCCTCCCACACGAGGTTGGGCTGGTTACTGGTAGTGGAGGTGGCTGGGGCGGTAGGGCCTAAGGCTTGCTGCTTCGCAATAACCACCACCAAAAGTCCTATTAGAGCAGCAATAGAGTAATAGATGGTGGAGTTCAAAATAATTTGCAAACGAACACCTTGTGAATGACCCAACACAGGAGAGCACTGTGTTTTGATCTTCCACGAAGCTCATGGTTCACCCTAAATCGCATCCGCACAAACCACGGCAGTAGATGCGGATACCTGATGCATAAATGTAAAATAAAAAAAACTCTCCAGTCGTGTGCTACTGTGGTCATCCAGAACAGACCATACAACATATAACGTCGCAATGCCCGATCCACAAATACAAAGGAGACGTGACAGCGCTGACACTCCGCTGCTACTGACGTGGTTATTTGGCTTGACCACTTGAATGTGAAATTGTAGTCGTTGCTCTGCATCTACATCAGCCATATGACAACAATAAGATTGACATAAGACACAAGGACCACAATATGCAATTTAGGCAGGATTAGAAAAAAAACACAAAGGCTGATTGCTTTTTGTAAACATTTCTTCTGCATGTGTGTTGTTTTTAAACTCATGGTTCTGCACTATTATTAATATTACTAGCATCTTTGCCCGTCCTAGGACGAAAAAATTGAGCAGAACATTACACTGGTCAACACACTTTTTCTGGCATAAGGTATTCCAACGTTTTTAAGGTAATTTTGGGGTGCTGATTCCAAATCTGGCATCAGTTTTTGTCGATCACATCAGGTTTTTGAGATATCAAATATTGCATTTTCAATAAAAACTGTAGAAGAAAATATTAAATAAATGTGGATATCTACATAAAATGATATTATAAACACACTATCATAAAAATACAGCACCATATTTTAACACTAAAGCAGTCACTGACTCGCAACAACTTGCAATCATAAGTGACAGAGTTAATTTCGGGTAAAAATCAATGAAAATGGGGTATGCCGATAGCATAAAAATGAGATGTGATAGAGCAAAGTCACGTAGGTAAAAAATTTATATTAAAATTAATAAAAGTAAACTAAAATAAAAAGTCACGACGTTTCGGAGGCAACACAAGCTTCCGTCTTCAGGTGGAACCGTCACAGCCACGACAGCTGTATCAAGTAAATGAGAGATTACAAGAGCTACCACTCCGTTTATATAATGGTTGAGGGGGGAAGGGCCCGGAAAGGAACATTTTTTATTAATATGGTAAGGTGAGGCCTTTGCTGGCCCTTCCCCCCTCAACCATTATATATACGGAGTGGTAGCTCTTGTAATCTCTCATTTACTTGATACAGCTGTCGTGGCTGTGACGGTTCCACCTGAAGACGGAAGCTTGTGTTGCCTCCGAAACGTCGTGATTTTTATTAATTTTAATTTCTATTTTTTACTTACGTGACTTTACCGAAAAAAACCTAAGAATATCAGATCTTATTGTTCACCCCGTGCCCCTTATACATCTCATCCTACACAAGTCCCATCACAAGGGACAAACACAAACAAAAATTGCCCGTATATTGAAACGGATGTAGGCCGTATGGATCTGAAAGCTCAATTTCCCTGTAAAAGAATAAGGGGTAATAAACCGTATAGGGGTTGACACGGTATGCCGTCGTCGGCAAGTCCACTCAATTTCACATCCTCCCGTACCATCGGTAATCACCATCATCACTGCTAGCACCATCACTGTCATCAACACCATCACCACAACCTCCATCACCACCCATCACCACCAACACCACCGTCATCATCACCACCAACACCACCGTCATCACCACCACAACCGTCATCACCACCACCACTACCATCATCATCACCACCATCACCACAACCACCACCACCACCACCATCATCACCACCACCTCCATCATCACCACCACCATCACCACCACCACCATCATCACCACAACCATCATCACCATCACCACCACCTCCCTCATCACCACCACCATCACCACCACAACCACCGTCACCACCACCGTCATCACCCCCATCATCACCATCACCACCGTCATCATCACCACCACCACCACCATCATCATCACCACCACGTCCATCATCACCACCACCACCATTATCACCATCACCACCGTCATTATCACCATCATCACCACCACCATCATCACCACCATCACCACCACCACCACCATCATCACCACCACCTCCATCACCACCACCATCATCACCTCCACCATCATCACCAGCACCTCCATCATCACCACCATCATCATCACCACCATCACCACCTCCATCATCACCACCACCATCATCACCACCACCTCCATCATCACCACCACCACCATCATCACCACTATGATCACCACCATCATCACCTCCATCATCACCACCACCACCATAATCACCATCACCTCCATCATCACCACCACCATCACCACCACCATCATCACCACCATCACCATCACCACCACCTCATCACCACCACCATCACCACCACCATCACCACCACCACAACCACCGTCACCACCACCGTCATCACCCCCATCATCACCATCACCACCGTCATCATCACCACCACCACCATCACCACCACCACCATCATCATCACCACCACCTCCATCATCACCACCACCACCATTATCACCATCACCACCGTCATTATCACCATCATCACCACCACCATCATCACCACCACCACCATCACCACCACCATCATCACCACCACCTCCATCACCACCACCATCATCACCTCCACCATCATCACCAGCACCTCCATCATCACCACCATCATCATCACCACCATCACCACCTCCATCATCACCACCACCATCATCACCACCACCTCCATCATCACCACCACCACCATCATCACCACTATCATCACCACCATCATCACCTCCATCATCACCACCACCACCACCATCATCACCACCATAATCACCATCACCTCCATCATCACCACCACCATCACCACCACCATCACCATCATCACCACCATCATCATCACCTCCATCATCACCTCCATCATCATCACCACCATCACCATCACCACCACCACCTCCATCATCACCACCACCATCCCCACCACCATCAGAACCACCTCCACGACCACTGTCACCACCACCATCACCTCCATCATCACCTCCATCATCACCGTCATCATCACCTCCATCACCACCTCCATCATCATCACCACCACCACCACCATCATCACCACCTCCACCACCATCATCACCACCACCACCATCATCACCACCACCACCACCATCATCACCACCTCCACCATCATCATCACCACCACCACCACCATCATCACCACCTCCACCATCATCATCACCACCACCACCACCATCATCACCACCTCCACCATCATCACCACCACCACCCCACGTGGTGTTCTCAGCAGCTGACGTCATCCGCGTGCGCTCTCCCCGCGCTGACGGCGCCCGCGCGCGGGAAGCCGAGAACGACGCGGGGACACGAACTCTGGTGGGCACCAAGTTCGCGTTAACAACAATCACCACTAACAACACTAACACCACCACAGCCCGGGTTAATGGGTCATTAGTTGTTATTTGTTTTATTGCAGCTGCTGCTGTCGTTGTTGTTATGAGCAAGCAAAATCGTGTTGGCGGCCGCTCGTTGTTGAAATCGCGCGACTGACTGACGCTGGTCGCGTCGCCTGAGGCGCAGAGAGGTAAGCGCAGAGGAGGTGGTGCCGGTTTGTGTTGTTGTGGTGGTGGTTGTTGTGGTTGTTGTGGTTGTTTTGTTGTGGTTGTTTTGTTGTGGTTTTGGTTGTTGTGGTTTGTTGTTGCTGTTGTGGTTGTTGCTGTTGATGTGGTTGTTGCTGCTGTTGTTGCTGTTGTGGTTGTTGTGATTGTGGTGGTTGTTGTTGCGGTTGTTGATGTTGCTGTTGTTGCTGTGGTTGTGGTGGTGGTTGTGGTTGTTGTTGTTGCGGTTGTTGATGTTGTTGCTGTTGCTGCTGTTGTTGTGGTTGTTGTTGTTGCTGCTGTTGTTGTTGTGGTTGTTGCTGCTGTTGTTGCTGTTGTTGTGGTGGTTGTTGTGATTGTTGTTTTTGCTGTTGTGGAGGGGACGTGGGGAAAAGGGGGACGCCGCTTGGCGGTCGTCACGGGAACGCGTTCGCCTCCACTCACTCGGAGGCTGTGAACTCCACTGCTGGATGAGACGCCGCATCAACAGCTGTACACGCACCACGGCCCTGCTGCCACTCCACTGCTGGATGAGACGCGGCAGCAACAGCTGTACACGCACCACGGCCCTGCTGCCACTCCACTGCTGGATGAGACGCTGCAGCAACAGCTGTACACGCACCACGGCCCTGCTGCCACTCCACTGCTGGATGAGACGCTGCATCAACAGCTGTACACGCACCACGGCCCTGCTGCCACTCCACTGCTGGATGAGACGCCGCATCAACAGCTGTACACGCACCACGGCCCTGCTGTCTCTCCACTGCTGGATGAGACGCTGCAGCAACAGCTGTACACGCACCACGGCCCTGCTGCCACTCCACTGCTGGATGAGACGCTGCATCAACAGCTGTACACGCACCACGGCCCTGCTGCCACTCCACTGCTGGATGAGACGCCGCATCAACAGCTGTACACGCACCACGGCCCTGCTGCAACTCCACTGCTGGATGAGACGCTGCAGCAACAGCTGTACACGCACCACGGCCCTGCTGCCACTCCACTGCTGGATGAGACGCTGCAGCAACAGCTGTACACGCACCACGGCCCTGCTGTCTCTCCACTGCTGGATGAGACGCTGCAGCAACAGCTGTACACGCACCACGGCCCTGCTGCCACTCCACTGCTGGATGAGACGCGGCAACAACAGCTGTACACGCACCACGGCCCTGCTGCCACTCCACTGCTGGATGAGACGCTGCAGCAACAGCTGTACACGCACCACGGCCCTGCTGCCACTCCACTGCTGGATGAGACGCGGCAGCAACAGCTGTACACGCACCACGGCCCTGCTGTCTCTCCACTGCTGGATGAGACGCTGCAGCAACAGCTGTACACGCACCACGGCCCTGCTGCCACTCCACTGCTGGATGAGACGCTGCATCAACAGCTGTACACGCACCACGGCCCTGCTGTCTCTCCACTGCTGGATGAGACGTATCAACAGCTGTACACGCACCACGGCCCTGCTGCCACTCCACTGCTGGATGAGACGCGGCAGCAACAGCTGTACACGCACCACGGCCCTTGTGCCACTCCACTGCTGGATGAGACGCCGCATCAACAGGTGTACACGCACCACGGCCCTTGTGCCACTCCACTGCTGGATGAGACGCCGCATCAACAGCTGTACACGCACCACGGCCCTGCTGCCACTCCACTGCTGGATGAGACGCCGCATCAACAGCTGTACACGCACCACGGCCCTGCTGCAACTCCACTGCTGGATGAGACGCTGCAGCAACAGCTGTACACGCACCACGGCCCTGCTGTCTCTCCACTGCTGGATGAGACGTATCAACAGCTGTACACGCACCACGGCCCTGCTGCCACTCCACTGCTGGATGAGACGCGGCAGCAACAGCTGTACACGCACCACGGCCCTGCTGCCACTCCACTGCTGGATGAGACGCCGCATCAACAGCTGTACACGCACCACGGCCCTTGTGCCACTCCACTGCTGGATGAGACGCCGCATCAACAGCTGTACACGCACCACGGCCCTGCTGCAACTCCACTGCTGGATGAGACGCTGCAGCAACAGCTGTACACGCACCACGGCCCTGCTGTCTCTCCACTGCTGGATGAGACGTATCAACAGCTGTACACGCACCACGGCCCTGCTGCCACTCCACTGCTGGATGAGACGCGGCAGCAACAGCTGTACACGCACCACGGCCCTGCTGCCACTCCACTGCTGGATGAGACGCCGCATCAACAGCTGTACACGCACCACGGCCCTGCTGCAACTCCACTGCTGGATGAGACGCTGCAGCAACAGCTGTACACGCACCACGGCCCTGCTGCCACTCCACTGCTGGATGAGACGCCGCATCAACAGCTGTACACGCACCACGGCCCTGCTGCAACTCCACTGCTGGATGAGACGCTGCAGCAACAGCTGTAACGCACCACGGCCCTGCTGCAACTCCACTGCTGGATGAGACGCGGCAGCAACAGCTGTACACGCACCACGGCCCTGCTGCCACTCCACTGCTGGATGAGACAGCAGCAACAGCTGTACACGCACCACGGCCCTGCTGTCTCTCTACTGCTGGATGAGACGTATCAACAGCTGTACACGCACCACGGCCCTGCTGCCACTCCACTGCTGGATGAGACGCTGCAGCAACAGCTGTACACGCACCACGGCCCTTCTGCCACTCCACTGCTGGATGAGACACTGCAGCAACAGCTGTACATGCACCACGGCCCTGCTGTCAACTCCACTGCTGGATGAGACACAGCATCAACAGCTGTACACGCACCACGGCCCTTCTGCCACTCCACTGCTGGATGAGACACTGCAGCAACAGCTGTACACGCACCACGGCCCTGCTGCAACTCCACTGCTGGATGAGACGCTGCAGCAACAGCTGTACACGCACCACGGCCCTGCTGCCACTCCACTGCTGGATGAGACAGCAGCAACAGCTGTACACGCACCACGGCCCTGCTGTCTCTCCACTGCTGGATGAGACGTATCAACAGCTGTACACGCACCACGGCCCTGCTGCCACTCCACTGCTGGATGAGACGCGGCAGCAACAGCTGTACACGCACCACGGCCCTTCTGCCACTCCACTGCTGGATGAGACACTGCAGCAACAGCTGTACACGCACCACGGCCCTTCTGCCACTCCACTGCTGGATGAGACGCTGCAGCAACAGCTGTACACGCACCACGGCCCTTCTGCCACTCCACTGCTGGATGAGACGCTCCATCAACAGCTGTACACGCACCACGGCCCTTGTGCCACTCCACTGCTGGATGAGACGCGGCATCAACAGCTGTACACGCACCACGGCCCTGCTGCCACTCCACTGCTGGATGAGACGCGGCATCAACAGCTGTACACGCACCACGGCCCTGCTGCCACTCCACTGCTGGATGAGACGCTACATCAACAGCTGTACACGCACCACGGCCCTTGTGCCACTCCACTGCTGGATGAGACGCGGCATCAACAGCTGTACACGCACCACGGCCCTTGTGCCACTCCACTGCTGGATGAGACGCTGCATCAACAGCTGTACACGCACCACGGCCCTGCTGCCACTCCACTGCTGGATGAGACGCTACATCAACAGCTGTACACGCACCACGGCCCTTCTGCCACTCCACTGCTGGATGAGACGCTGCATCAACAGCTGTACACGCACCACGGCCCTGCTGCCACTCCACTGCTGGATGAGACACTCCATCAACAGCTGTACACGCACCACTGCCCTTGTGCCACTCCACTGCTGGATGAGACGCGGCATCAACAGCTGTACACGCACCACGGCCCTGCTGCCACTCCACTGCTGGATGAGACGCCGCATCAACAGCTGTACACGCACCACGGCCCTGCTGCCACTCCACTGCTGGATGAGACGCGGCATCAACAGCTGTACACGCACCACGGCCCTGCTGCCACTCCACTGCTGGATGAGACGCGGCATCAACAGCTGTACACGCACCACGGCCCTTGTGTCAACTCCACTGCTGGATGAGACGCGGCATCAACAGCTGTACACGCACCACGGCCCTGCTGCCACTCCACTGCTGGATGAGACGCGGCATCAACAGCTGTACACGCACCACGGCCCTGCTGCCACTCCACTGCTGGATGAGACGCGGCATCAACAGCTGTACACGCACCACGGCCCTGCTGCCACTCCACTGCTGGATGAGACGCGGCATCAACAGCTGTACACGCACCACGGCCCTTCTGCCACTCCACTGCTGGATGAGACGCTGCATCAACAGCTGTACACGCACCACGGCCCTGCTGCCACTCCACTGCTGGATGAGACGCTACATCAACAGCTGTACACGCACCACGGCCCTGCTGCCACTCCACTGCTGGATGAGACGCGGCATCAACAGCTGTACACGCACCACGGCCCTTCTGCCACTCCACTGCTGGATGAGACGCTGCATCAACAGCTGTACACGCACCACGGCCCTTGTGCCACTCCACTGCTGGATGAGACGCTGCAGCAACAGCTGTACATGCACCACGGCCCTGCTGTCAACTCCACTGCTGGATGAGGCACTGCTGAAGAATGTGTCAAAGTGCCTGTGTTTATTTTTCAGTGGCTGCGTTACACACGTGTGATGGGGGAGTGGTGGTGCAGTGGTTAGCGCACTCTGCTGCGAACCTAGCGACCCGAGTTCGATTTCCTGCCCGCAGCCAACATTGCACATATCTCTAAACCGGTCATGGGCCTCGCCTAGGTTGACTCAGTCCTACCTGTTTGTGGTGTGTAAATATCAGCACTGGGGGAGATGAAGGCGTCTGGGCGTGGTGTGCAGGCCACCTACCTCGTGTGCCACAGCAGCGTTTATAGATGCCCGCCAACAGCACTGGAGCCTGTCTGTTCAGGCTATAAGGGATTCTTTGTCTTTGTGTACACAATATTTTACTGGTAGGAACCTCCTGGTTACACCAGCCCACAGGGGATTATTGTGTCCGTCCGTCGTGCATCCAAAAATGGGAGGGGTGGGGCTGGGTGGAGTGGGAAGGGGCTGGGTGGAGAGGGTGGGGAGGGGAGGGTGGGGCTGGGTGGGGAGGGGCTGGTCACCCCGTGGTGCCCTTATAAAACTCAACGTTTAACCTACTCACGCCGGCTTGTGCCCGCCCTCACAGTCGGGCATATTTGCAGAATACACCACGCCGCCATTGACCGAGCAACCCAACGTTTCTACCAGCTCCCTCTGCAGGAATGTGTTTAAGGAACGAAACAGGAGGAGGATTTCTCCACAAATCTGGCTGTCCGCCTGATGGTGCTGGCTGGAATTACTGGCGAAACGTCGTACTCGAATTGTAAATGCTGCGGGTTTGCTGTCCAACACACCGGTGTGCTGTACTAATAACGAATTGGTGTGTTCTGATTAGGTGACAAAACCTCACTAATTGGCTGTGTCCGGTGTTGGCGGGTTTAACAACACATTTATATTTATGCGATGTAATCCAAAAAAACCTGTATTAGAATGATCTTGGTCGCGAAAGCCTACGTGTTAAGCTGAAGGCAACATTGCTGACGATGTATGTAATTCGTATGTGTGACAAATCAGAAGCAATCTGCCTGGATCAGAATTTTGCCATCTTATTGAACTCGATGGGAAAATTCATGAGGAGGAACTGACCCATCCACTAACGCATGAGCTGCATCCGTGATTTTTTAATATGAGCTCTACATATGCAGTTAAAAAATGTGACGCCAGCTTTCCTATATCTTGTGTTGCATTGGGATGATTGCCACTGGGGGTCACCTTGGCTCGGCTGCCACAGAGTCATGGAATGGTTGAGATGAGATGTAAGGTGCTTTGCGATGCTCAGGCATTTGGGTGTCCTATGAAGTCAAATCTTTATCGCTCGCTGTGCTGAGAGCACACCTCTGTGATCCTGCAACATAGAGTCCTGGGTTTGTAGATTACCTACAAACGGAGCTTTTTTGAGGAATCCACCTGTAAGTGCCAGTGTTGAAGTACAGAAAGTAGGTCCCTGGCAATCAGTAGAGAGTGTGACTGTACTTTACCAATATGCATCTTCTACTTTTGTGCAGGGGGAATTCCGAAGTTGATTTTTGGCACCGACGTCACTGTCGGGAGAGTGCGAAATGGAAGTCACCGGGGAGCAGCTCATTTTGGAAGAAAATGTTGACGACAATTTCATCCCTTCAGAACTGGGTAAGGCAGAAGAAGCCAGGCTTACGAACAAACTTCACGTAAAAAGCAACATTACCATAGTTATAAAGTGAATGCCCTGGTTTTGCTTTAAATGTAAATATTCTGTTGGTACCTAATGAACAACAATACAGTAAAACCTTGGATTGCGTGCATAATTCGTTCCGGGAACGTGTTTGTAATCCAAAGCACTCGTATATCGGTTGTGATCACGTGGCACTCGGCAGACAAAGCGTATACATGTACTACTCGTATTGCAAGACCTCGCTCGTTTATCAAATTAATATTTATTTAAACATTTTGCTCGTCTTGCAAAACATTTGCAGACCAAGTTACTCGCAATCCAAGGTTTTACTGTATGTTGTTTCGCTAATGTTTGCAAATATAACATTTAATTTAACCCCCTTTGTATTAGAAGCTAATTTTTTTTTTGATATTTCAATATAAAAAAAGACACCAGAGCATAGAATTCTATAATTATATTGGGCAACTAGTCAAGATTAAAGACATCTTTTACATCAATTGAGATGCTTGTGTTTTTACAGAGATAATGGATTATGCCATGGAGATTGGCATTGACCCAGAGAAGGAGCCAGAGTTAATGTGGCTGGCACGGGAAGGCATTTTTACACCTCTCCCAAAAGAGTGGAAGCCCTGGTAAGATCAAATCAAATGCCATATTTGCATGCCTGATGCTGTCATCATTCTGGTCTGGTCTATCACAGGTTTGTCTTGAAGTAATGTGTTGTGATTGAGCAGTTACAACAGGCACGAAAATCCTCTTCTTGGTTCTTTCAGTAAAGTCACGTAGAAGGGAAATAATAAAGTAATAAAAATAAAACATAATAAAATCAAATTCTCACGACGTTTCGGCCACAACGCAAGCAGCCGTTGTGGCCGAAACGTCGTGAGAATTTTATTTTATTATGTTTTATTTTTATTATTTTATTATTTCCCTTCTACGTGACTTTACCGAAACAACCAAGAAGATGAATCCCTGCAGTCACGAAAGCTTTAAATCTAAAAGGTACGAAAACATTTCTACACATATACTTGTATGAGGTAATAATGTATTTTGTAAACAGCCAGGACGTGAATGGAGACATCTATTACTTCAACTTCTCCACGGGCATGTCCAGCTGGGACCACCCATGTGACGAATATTACCGGCAAATGGTGGAAAAGGAGAGGGAGCGCCTGGCTAAGCAAGAGACAGTGAAAGCACAGGACCAGAAGGATAAAAAGAAGAAGAAAAAGACCAAAGAGAAGAAGAAAGATAATAATAAAGACAAAAAAGGGGAACAGCCTGCACTGGTAAGTGGCTTTAAAAGCATTTCGTTAAAGTAAATATGTAGCTATTAGATGCATGGCAAAGAGTGCAGTTGTGCACCTTTTGAAATGTTTGTTAATTTTCAGAACTTTATTTTCAGCAGTGTTCAAATCGCTATTGAACACGCGTAGGATAACAGTCCACATACTTATTATTGATATATTTACTGTCCGTTGACGGATAGTGGCATGCATCTAGCAATAGAATAATAAAAGTTGAACAGGAATGTCTGATTTTCACATTCTGAATGCAACGTGTTTGAAAATACCATACTTTTTTGGTAGTTATCCTTGCATACGGTGAATACTTTACTACATAAAGCTGTCAATAATGCAGTATAATGAATAAGCTGGTATGCCTTTATGTTTTGATGACATTGGAACTCGAATTGTGCTTTTTTAAATAAATCAGAAAACAACTGGAGGCCTCAACCCGGTTCAGGCACCGCTGGGAAGCTTGGCACCAGTTCAGAAGCCTCTCCTAGGCCTGGCTCCAATTCAGATGCCTGCCAGAGGTCTGGCGCCTCTTCAGCCTCTGTCTGGGAACCTAGCCCCCATACGCGGCCCTGTGGAGTCTTTGGACAACCTTGGGGTATCACCCAGCAGCTCAATGGACAGCCTTGGCTTCTTGAAGGGGCCCAAGAAGAATGTGGATCGCGGTCGGGTGAGTGTCAAACAGCCGTTGTTGCTGTTGTTGCAAGAACAAATTGTTAAAGCCTACATTTTACATTACATTTTGTCATTTTGAAGTGACTCGTACAAAGTGCGCGTACGTTTTTTGTGAAGGTTGGTGGAGGCAAAAAAAAGGAGAATACTTTTGGCGGTGAGGCTGGTATTGGTGATGACGTTGAAAATGATGAGGTGTGTGCTACGCTCTATCACATACCCATGTGATACAGAACAGCTTCACAAATTCAGGTTACACGCTAAGCTTTACTTTTCCAGTAAAACTAGCAGGTTTGGCTTCAATTCAGATGCCTGCCAGAGGGCTGGTGCCTCTTTATCCTCTTGTCTGGGAACATAGAACATCTTTCTTTTTTTATTACATGCTTTTATTTAACTCACTCTGTCTGTTGTTGTCGTATCCTCAAATATTTTAACTCAATTTTAACCCACTTCCCAATGTGGTATCGACTGCAAACTGGGTATACTTATGTCATACTGATGACAATACTATATTCCATAAAAAAAGTATTTTTAAACATTCATTTTTACATGTTATGTTTCGGGTTGGGTCTAATTGTCCACGCTCAACTAACGTTGGCTGTAAATCACCACGGTCCCTTACGTTATGGCAAGCCTCGGGGACTAATCCTGGAGTCGTGGAGTTCTGCCATTACTTGTACGGTACATTTCATTAAAGCGTGTTTAAAAAAAGTATTTTTTAATATTACTTATTTTATAGATATATAAAACGTTAGTCTAGGTTATTTATTTCTTCCATCGTCAAACATAAATAAGTGTGATGCTGTTTTCTCTTGTGTAGAGCCCTCTGTGCGCAGCAGAATTTCTGAAACATCTGCACTTGGACATTGATGAAGACGATTTTCAATTTGAGGTAAGTAGTCGTAGGTAGCTAATACGTGAACAGTTTTTATTTCTTCCATCTCATTTCACTTGCCTCTGTCTCCCATGTGCTCTCTACCTCAGCAACCAAGGCTTTCTATAAATGCCACCCTCTACTTAGTCAGAAGACGTTCATCCTCTTCTGTTGCCCCCATAGTCTAGAACTCCCTTCCCCCAGCCATTAGTGTCCTAAACGTCCTCCAGGCATCTGTGCTGTTCAAGTCCACGCTGAATACCTTCCTTTAAATTTGTTTTTATTTTTTCAGTAGGAGCCCGATACAGAGCACGAACCGCGACGTAGGGTAGAGGGTTTAGAAAGTCCGCGGACACAAGTGCCAAACTCTGTGCTCCAGAACTTCGAGGAGGGAGGAGATTTGGTTCACTGCACCACTGAGTGGGGGGCTGCGAGGGGGGTATACTGTATGTACTTATGTGGAGAGGAGAAGGTAGGGGAAGAAGAACTTAAGGAGTAGAGGGTGTGGGGGGAAGAGGAGGGGGGGACTCAATAACTTACTTTTATTCCTCTGCCTATTACTGACTGCCTCTCTGTATAACATAAATATGCACATTGTTTATTTATGGTATCTAGAGCTCCGATTGTATCTCGACAAGATATAAATGCAGGTTGTTTTGTATTTTATGAACATGATAGAGCAACACGATGTTGTGCTCCTTTTTTGGGTGTGATTGTGTTGTGATTATTGTTTTGTAACTAAACACTGTACATGGGTCATTGGGCACTGATATATTTAACTGCTTCTTCCAGGAATCTGAAGCCAGTGAAAACATCAGAGAGCTGCAGGTTACAGAAGACACTGATGAAGATGGTGCTACACTCGATAAAGATCCTGCTGTGGGCATATAAAATATTACCATTATTCTTGCACCACTTTTACCCTCATGTATTATTGCATTACTGCATATCAGATGTGATTATACAAACTGTAAATGATTAACTTAATCACGTGAGCTTCTTTTATTTATTTCAGATGTCTGCTCTTCCAAGCAAAATGTCAAGTCGTTTTAACTTAATGGGCTTTGATAATTTTCCACCACAGCTTGATAATAAAAAAACAGAGGTAGGTGTTTTATTGGCAGCATGAATAGTTTTTGTTTAATGATACATTGAAAGTTGTTTATGTTACGCAATTCATCAAATAGTATTTGTTATGCTTTAAAAAAAATAATTGCCTTGTCCGTAACATGTGATAGTCTCTTTCTGCTTTAGATGAAGTAAACACTAAATGTGTAAAGTAATAATGTGCTTTTCATTCAATTTAGGTGTCTGCTCTTCCAAATCAATTTTCAAGTCGTTTTAACGTAATGGACATTGATGACTTACCACCGCTGCTTGATAATCAAAAGTCAGAGGTGGGTAAATTATTGGGTGCGCATGGACTGCTTGCTTTTATTGATGAATACATCTGTCTATGTATGTTATCCACTTCATCAAGCTAAGTTCGTTGTCTTTGGTGTTTGAAGAATGCCAGCTGTTTTTTTGCTTGAACCAAATTGCAATAAAGAAAGGCAGTGTGCACAGAACGTGTAAGATACAGATTTTAATTAAGGGTTTTCTCACCAACGCAAATGTTTTAAAATATCCTAGCATAGGTTAATGACCATTTTTGGAGGAACAGACCAAGATGGGGTTATGAATAGTTCACGAATACTGATCTACAACACTGGCTGATGCTTAAGAAGAGCTTTGCATGCTATGCTTCTATTGTGTCCATGGGTTAGGTTTGTTAAGTTGACCTAAAATGTATCGACGTGTAAATTAATGGATAACGTGTCATAATTTATTTCAATTCACAAAGATGCTCGAGTTGTTTGGTTTACCAAGCGTGACTGAAGGCTTCGTCCTGGTGTTGGCACCCTGCAACAGTGTTATTGTGTACGAACGATAGCTGATTATTGCTTTTCAACATTTTTCCAATGTGCAGCACGCAGACCCTCCCGTGTTTCCTGTGCATGATGATGTGGACAACAAAACAAACAAAGACAAAGGGAAGACAGATGAGACGACTAAAAGGTAATTTAAATATGCATCATGTGTCTTTGTGTCTTATTGTTGTTACACTTGTATCTGGCAATTGTTGGTTTGCAGATTAATACATTTGGCAATTAAATTGGTTATTCTGTTTAATGTGTCTGCAGATTTAGAAAGCTCAATAGAATGTTTCATTGTAGCATATTACTGTCTAACAGTATTGTGGCCAAATCTTTATTTTTGTTTGGCTCATTACTAACACAATGGGTTAGTATTGTCAAGAGAAGTCTGTGCATATTTGGCAGTTGTGGTTGTGCATGAGTTAAAGGTTGGTGGTTCGCTCATGTATTGAAAACTCTCGTACCTGCTCAGATGTGAGGTGGCTGGGAGATAAATGTTCATTATTGCAATACCATTAAGGGTAATATTACACTAGAAGTTACGAGACGGTGTGGCAAGTACAGTATACTCATGGTAACAGTGTAATAGCGTGATTCAAAGTGCTATACAGTACTCTACCACCTTGTGGAATACTGTATGTTGCCCCTTTTACGCCTCGCTCCGCAGTATTCATCAGCAACCTCACCGCGCTGCACTATTTGCGCTTACGTAACAAATGCAAACATTTACGCTTACAGAATAGATATTTTTTTACATTATTTATGTGAGCATTTCCATAAAGTCAGATTTTCGTAAGTCTGGTCTTCCGTAACTCGGGGACTACTTATGCTTTGGTTTCCTTACAGACGTGTAATGCTCATTGATGGTATTGGCCAATCATTCCAATGCAGGACCCTCCTGAAAAGGAGTCTTGAGACTCAGGGAAGCTTTCCTGGGTAACAACAAAGCGTTCGAGTGTTAACACATTCCTGCGGAGGGAGCTGGTAGGAACGTTGGGTTGCTCGGTCAATGGCCAGGGTCAACGGCGGCGTGGTGTATTCCACAAATATGCCCGACTGTGAGGGCGGGTACAAGCCGGCGTGAGTAGGTTAAACGTTGAGTTTTATAAGGGCACCATAGGGTGACCAGCCCCTCCCCACCCAGCCCCACCCCTCCCACCCCCCACCCAGCCCCTCCCCACCCTCCCCACCCAGCCCCTCCCCACCCAGCCCCACCCTCCCCACCCAGCCCCTCCCCACCCTCCCCTCCCCTCCCCTCCCCACCCAGCCCCTCCCTCCCCACCTAGCCCCTCCCCACCCTCCCCTCTCCACCCAGCCCCACCTCTCCCATTTTTGGATGCACGACGGACGGACACAATAATGCCCTTGGGCTGGTGGAACCAGGAGGTTACTACCAGTATAATGTATACCTAGTTATTTGGTGTGCATACCTACCTCCTAGCTTGGCAATTTGTTGTTAAGTTTTTAGAGGTTCAAATGATTGTAATTTTGTTTTCTCAATGCCGACACTGAAGTCATGAAGCTTGGTCAGAGGAGGCAAAAGTTTCTCTTGCAGCCAGCGGAGATGCAAATGTGACACAGAGCCTCATAGATGAGGCTCCTGAAGACAGTGTCCATAGTGTACATTCTTTAAAAGTATCCAACTCAGAGGCTGACGAGTAAGAAAATATTTGCATGTTATGCTTTTGTTATTGTGTTGCAGAAGTTTATCGGCATTGCCATTCTCAGCTGTGCGATGCTTAGTAACTGGTGCGCTGTAGATCATTATTCGTGCATTATTCACAAACCCACCTTAGTCTGTTCCTCCAAAAATAATAAGTTATATACTTTTGATTTAAAGCTTTCGTGACTGCAGGGATTCATATTCTTGGTTCTTTCGGTAAAGTCACGTAGAAGGAAAAAAATATATGTATAATTAAAAGAATAATAAAAATATCATTTGATTGTTTCCTTTCTACGTGACTTTACCGAAAGAACCAAGAATATAAGTTATATACTGTATAAGAATTTCATACAATTGCTTGTAACATTTTCTTTGTTTTTGTATCTTAAAACTAATAGCTTTTTTTGATTTATTATGTCCTTTTGTAAAATAAATTCTGATAATTAACACGCAAAATTATATCAACATAACTAAACAGTTATCAAATAATAAGCACATTTGATTAAATTAATTACTTGCAATAAAGGCTCATTTAATTTCCAGGTCGCACATTTTAATTATTAAAATGTTAAGAATGCACCTTTTTTAAACTTACAACTTTGAATAGTGAAAACTACCTCGGTATTTCTCATACATTGTATTATTAATATCCTGATGATGCAAACATTGCTTCATATTGAAATCTCTGAATCTACATTTGTTTTAAACGTCTTTGGGGAGAGAAAAATCACATACAAAAAATAAGGAACATAATGGCTCATTGTTAGTGCTTATAGTCACGTTGATACTTTTCTGTATTTAAAATATTGCTGCTTTGTGTCTGATAGTCGCTAACAAAATGACATGTAATTGATATATGAACGCACGCATAAGGTGTAATGATTTACGACACGTGTTGTAACTATCATGCATGCGCAATGGACTTTACTGTGTGTGAGCTGTCTTACCTAGTTTATTATGCATGTGGCTTTCCCTAAGCATCTAGTGCAGGAGTGCATTAAGCATACGGAGGAGAGTTATGTTGGCTATTAGCTCATGAGTCTGGGGTTTGTCGGTAATACCTGGCGTGGCAAATGCTTCCAATGTGTTCCATCGGCATAATCCATCACGGGCAGAGAGGTTAGCACATATTATGTCTGTTTTATAGACTCACTTCCGATTTATTGCCATGTTCCATGCATATTTAATATTTAAAAAATATCCCAAAATGTTGTCGATCAAACAACACTGAGGTACCCTTATTTAAATAGATTTAACTCGTGACAGGCTACTACAGTGAACTTGCTGTCATACATATTTGTGTTCTGGAGATAATCTTCTTCAACAAAATCATTGTTAGCATTTGCCATTCTAGGAATTACCAATACTCCCTTTTTGTGCGATTGAATATTTACGTATTTATTTACAATAATATGGTAAAATAATATGGTATTTTGTTAATTGTTGCTTTTATGTCTGGTGCTTCCACGTGTAAATTTTTGAAAGTCTTGAAATTGTATTCGTTAAAGTTAGCCTCAAGTTAAAATTCAATTGTTTGTTGCCTTGCATACAAAACAAATGAAAGTTGATGTATCTATTCACAGACCACTTTCATCAGGCAAGTTTGGATTGGAGGCAAGCAGTTCAAGCGTGCCGCTCATGGTTGTCGAGGATCCCGTGAAAGATGGGCATGACAGCGAGGGAAGAGTGTCGGATTGCTTGAAAAATAAACCTCGAAATGAACGAGAAGGCCGAGAGAAGCAGCTGCAGAAGGACAACGATGATGCACTGGAGGAGCTGAAGAAGCAGCTGGAGAAGGAGTTGACTGAGCAGGAGGAGAAGCTGCAAGAAGAAAAGGAAGAGCGCCTCCGGAAGCTCAGGAACAAACTTCAGCAAGAAGAAACCGACACGGCAAAGCAGCTTGAGGAGGAGCTGAAGAAGACTAAGAGGTTGGTCGCGACATTTATAGGCTCGATCGGGAAAGCTGACACGTTTATAATGGTCTTAATTAAGTCAGAATGCGTATGTACAGCCCTTTCGTGTCAACCCACTGCTGGATGAGGGTCTTCACGCATATTTCCGATCGCGGGAGGGCTTGTGACCATACATCACCACGCTGATCAATACAGATTGGTGGAAATATACAAGGACAGTATAACGATGAATATGGCTGCACCACCCTCATCCCACAATGTAGCTCTATAGCTTACAGCACCTGTTATGCATCACAGCGCTGTTCAGGGTCAACCATGCTTAGCTTTTGAGATCTGACAGGATTTGGTGCATAACGGATTATATGGTCATCGCGGACACATTTACAATAATTACGTTTACTTATCAAAGACAGGCTGACCAAGTCTTACGAATTTGTTTTTAGGAGGAGTCCTGCATTTAGTTGTTTGGCCCGTTTCATTCCTCAGTGAATACGAGGGAATAACATTCACAGTTTGTTTCAATCAATGTTGTTACCTAACTCCATAACACTTGGTATTTCCCAGATAGTCTCCCAAACGAGTCCTAAGCAGGATCATACCTGCTATGCTTCTGAGATCGGACATATTTCAAGTGATTTTGTTGTGGGTGATTTAATTTTTGATTCCAATCTTATGCTTCAGGTTCAGCATATCATATCTTAACTACCAATGTTTGCCTTCATGTTAAGTTTTAGTGGATGTCACGTGTAAATTGTACTGAATAAATGAATCACGGGGTTGAGCAGTGGCACAGTGGTTTTCCATTGTGCAATGAACCAGTCACGGCTAACGTCAGCGATGAGTGATATCTGAACTGATCCTGGGCTTCCACCATCACCAACCCGCACTGATCAGTCTGGTGAAGTATGATCAAACAACCCCGCATGATGGACTTGGTATGGCGAGAGACTGACAAAGGGCTGTAAAGAAACAACCCAAAACGAAGCACATGGAAGTTGCAATCAGCCATTGGTGGATTCCCTGTAGGACTGTGGAGGAGCAGCATCGGGATGAGCTGCAAAGAGAAGAGGCTCGCCTGAAGGAGGAATACGCGCAGACGCTCGTGCGCGTTCGAGAATCCCTCCGGCAGGAGACTGAGGAGGAGGAACGGAAATTAAAGTGAGGAGAAACTGGCATCACACTATTTATTACAAATGTACCACAGTATTTCCAGGTTGCCTATCATTAGCAATAATCTCCATTTCATCTGGCATGCATGAGAAAGAATGGTTGTGGATTGGACCCGCTTCTAATTTGGTAAACTCTACCATTTTACTACTGGTATATTTAATCATTTGTGGTTGAATATCAATCATAGAAAATGGCATGAGATTTAATCTCAAAAGCAGTTCATGCAGAAAGCAGATAGGGTGAGTGAAATAACGGTGGCAATGCTTAGCACTGTTCGTGTGTTACTATGCAGGCTACAGAAAGAAAAGACCTTGCAGGAGCAGAATGAGCTATTTCTTTCGATGGAAAGAGATCGGCTTGAAGCAGACAAGGAAGGTGCTTTGAAAGCGCTGCGCGAGGAGCTTGAAGCTGAGAAGCAGCAGGTGAGGAGGTCTTTGACGAACCGACTTCATACGCAGAGCTTGTGCCAAAGCATCCTTTGCAATGTCCTAAAAATATACTTATACCCATATGCCTCTAAATCTGCTGATTATGTAGATCGGAGTAGGGACACACGAAGCACAATTAGTGGGATATTCATGTTTTCTTATTTTGTTGCAGGTATTGGAAAAGCTAAAAGAAACACATTTGCATGAGTTGGACGAGTTGAAGTCTGCAGTCCAAGAGAGGCATGGAAAGGTTTGTAATAATGTAACCTTGAATCTACACACTTGAAAACTTTTATATGCTGGTTCCAGCATGAAGTATTTCAAGGATTATCCCAACCTGGATACATTGTAATCCATGGAACTGGATTTACTTTTCAACTTCTGTTAAAAATGTTCATATTGAATTGATTGATTTAAGTAAAATATATATATATATTTTTTTTTTAATCAAAACTGCATGATGAAAAGCACGAACTAAATTTGAACAGTTTTAATGTGATCTAAATTCTGTAATGTCCAGTTATTTTGCTTTTTAAAATGTCAAATGTTCCAGATGAAATGGCGCATATCTGTACATCCTCATGACTCCTTAACTAACCACTGTTGATTTAAAGTTGAAATGTGCCATGTTTGCTCAGAGTTGTCAAGTTTGTACTTGGTGGGAAATGTGGGAATTTGAAGGCCATTCTCTCCTTTAACTGCGTTAGCATTGATTTGACAATTTACTTTATTTGTATAGGATATTGATCATTTAAAGAAAGAGCTGGAGGAAACTCAGATGTTGGAAAAAGACGATGTTACGGAGAGACTTAAAAAGGCACAACTTCGACAGCAGCAGGTGGATGATTATGAAAAACAGGTACTGTTCATTCGTTTCCACTTACTGCGTTACTCTTGCTTGAACTTGATAACGACGAACAGCTGGTACAACTATATTCTTTGGGTCTTTCGGTAAAGTTACGTAGATAGGGTCAAAATTATTAAAAATAAACAAAAAACAAAGACGTTGTGATCGAAATGTCGTGCTTTTTTGTTTATTATTAATCATTTTGAACTTGTCTACATGACTTTGCCAAAAGACCCAAAGAATATGAATTCCTGCAGTCACGAAAGCTTTTGATCACGCTGGTACAACGTTCAAAACTCTACCGGATGCATGCCTTCATTCATTGTCGTGTGATAAGATTTTTTTTTGTTAATCAGCTCAGTGAACTGATGAGAGAGCGAAGGACTGATGTGGAAAGGGAGCATGTGCAGAAGCTTGATGAGATGAAGGCTGACCACACGAAAAGTCTGCACAAAATCCGGGAGGATCACATGCAAGAGGTGAGATACATTCACTACACGACTGCCAGTGCACGTCTAAGCCTGTTGTAAAATATATTGTGAAGGCAATAAAAGTCGATATGCTTCCCTTGAATTAAACCGAGTTGTTTTTGGTGTATTTAACATTTTTAAACCACGACAGGAAAGTAATCTACGTAGATCGCTGATGGACAGCTGGAAGGAGGAGCGAGAGAGGCTTCAGGAGCGGCACGAAGAGGAGCTATCAGAGATGAGACGAGACCAGGAGAGGAGACTGGAGCAGCTGACCCTTGCCAACGCAGAGCGGGTTGGTGTTTTGAGCTATCTAGCTCTTTTTCAAAAGCTACCTGGCCACAAATGGTAGCTCATCTGGAAATGTATGGCAACCAAATACTTCGAACATACCTTTCTAAATGTGGAGGGAAAAAGCGGAGGACCTGTAAAAAAATCCACTCGACCAAGGGAAGAACATGCAAACTCCAAATATACAGCTGTCAGGGTTAGGATCGAACCCACGACCTCGTGTATACCAGGCGAGGTAGTTAACATCTCGCAACAGCAAGTTGTTCTGTCTCAAGGATCGTAAATGGGGTCCGTGAGGAATTGGTCCCCCTTTATTGATTCACCACTTGACTTTCTCACATTTATGTGACCGAGCCCAGTCACTCTCGTTAATGTTTTCCCTCTTGCCTCCTCTCCCACTTCTCCCCCTCTCTTGTTACTCCTCACTCCATATATAACGAGCAACATCTGAACTTTCTTTGTGTGCATCGACTCCAGTGCTGGTCACGTTTATATACAGATATCACATATATAATTAAACTTTATACATTGCTACCCTGCTCTGCACAGATTGCCTAACTTCAGTAGTTATAGGGAAAGTATTATAGGATTACAGATTATACTTGTAGGAACCTCCTGGTTACACCAGCCCACAGGGGATTATTGTGTCCGTCCGTCGTGCATCCAAAAATGGGAGGGGTGGGGCTGGGTGGAGAGGGGAGGGTGGGGAGGGGCTGGTTGGGGAGGGTGTGGAGGGGCTGGGTGGGGAGGGGGGGGTTGGGCTGGGCTGGGTGGGGGGTGGGAGGGGTGAGGCTGGGTGGGGAGGGGCTGGTCACTCCGTGGTGCCCTTATAAAACTCTACGTTTAACCTACTCACGCCGGCTTGTGCCCGCCCTCACAGTCAGCCATATTTGCGGAATACACCACGCCGCCGTTGACCCTGGCCATTGACCGAGCAACCCAACGTTCCTCCCAGCTCCCTCCGCAGGGATGTGTTTATTGCCACTATGTATGTTGAACTTCTTTCGCATTGTACGTAGCCAACCGTGCTAATCGGCACACTATTGGAAATGTAATGGACAAGCGCATTTAAAAAAATATTTAATCACAGTTATGAACTTATTAATCAGTAAAAGTTAAATTTGTTCAAGCTAATCATTATTTTGTAAGATTTTAAAATGTTGTTTTATCTGTGCTTGCAGGAGAGAGACTGGAAGGAAGAACATGAGCGTTTACAGCTGAACATTCTTGACCTTTCTGCAAAGAAGTTGCAGCTGCAGAATGAGGTTGGAAGTAGAAAATGTCCATTGTCAAGTTTTTTTTTCTCTAGAAATTGCCTCAAGTACTACTTCAGTTATTATTATTATTATGCAGTACGCAAGGGGTAATTTAAATCTAATAAACTAGCCTTTTGCCCATCCAAGGACGGGTGTATTTCAGTAAATCTGAAACTTGCAAGCGAAAAGCAGACCGCGATGTGATATTCATTGCATCAATTCGTATGCAATTTGTAAGGCCGCGGTGACACAGACTTAGTTAATTTAAAGGTTATGATCCCTTGTTCATCATGACTTCCTTTTTACTTCGATGTCTCAACAGCATTACGGAGATCGCGTGACGTGAGGGTTCTGCCTTTATAGTGAGGGTTGTCAGTTGACGCTGAGGAGGGGGGAGGAGGCGCCTCGCCCCCCCTCCATGTGGAGTTACGTCACCCGCTAATTATTATTAATGGAGGGGGGTGTCCATTTGGAAGACGTCATCTGTTCATGATTATTAATGAGGGGGGCTGGCCGACGTGGAGTGACGTCACGCGCGGGACACACAGACATTCTTGGCTCATTATAGTAGTAAATCTGTTCAATGTGGTACTTTGATTGTCAGCAGTTAGTTGAAATAGTAGTACACCAGGTTTGGGATACAGATACATCACAAGGTTATCAAGCTACTTGCCATTGCGGCGTTATACGTCTCAGCTTTTAAATACATGTAATTGTGAGGTTCAATTTAGTGAGCGCTTGATCTTCGAAGAGAGTGTTGGAATGCAAATGTTGTCCATAAATTATGAAGACTGATGATCGACCATTTGTTGGGATGTTGACAGGTGGAGGTTGAAAGGAAACAGATGCAGCTGAGGAAAGAAGAGCAAGATGCATATGAGAAGGAGATACAAGTACTCTCTTATTTACATCGTTACGATCACTGTTGATGGATTATTTATTTGATTATTAAAAACATTCTCGATTTTGGAGCTTTCGTGACTGCAGGAATTATTCTTTGGTTCTTTCGGTAAAGTCACGTATAAAGATAAAATAATAAATTAAATAATAGCATACTACGACGTTTTGACACAAGCAATCATCAGGTATAAAAGAAATAGCAACAAAAATCTAACCAGAAAACTATAGACAGACATATAAGCAGACAGATATCACAAATATACACAGAGAGTGCCGATACGTGTTCTCTCTCTGTGTATCTTTGTGATATCTGTCTGCTTATATGTCTGTCTATAGTTTTCTGGTTAGATTTGTGTTGCTATTTATTTTATACCTGATGATGATTGCTTGTGTTGCAATCGAAACGTCGTAGTATGCTATTATTTAATTTATTATTTTTTCTTTATACGTGAATTTACCGAAAGAACCAAAGAATATTGAAAACATATTTTTACAGTTGAGGCTTTAATGAACGATTTTAAGTGATCATGGCATCGCTGTCCCAGTGTCAAGTTTCGGAAACCAGTTCACAGTTTATATGAAGAAACATGTTTCTCATGCGAAAAGACAAGAAAGTGCATAGTAATGCATATTTAACTCCCTGAATGTAAATTTGGATGGCGAGGCTTTGTTTTTTAACAAAAGGTATGCTAACGACATGTTGTGGTAACACATTTCGTGACAGCTCTGTGAATACTCTTTGGTTCTTTCGGTAAAGTAACGTAGGTATAAAATAAAATAAATCACGACGTTTAGATCACAACACAAGCGGTCGTCCTGTGTTGCGATCGAAACGTCGTGATTTATTTTATTTTTTACCTACGTGACTTTACCGAAAGAACCAAAGTGTATGGATTCCTGCAGTCACGAAAGCTTCAAATCAAGCTCTGTGAATGTTATGTTCATCTTTAGAAAATATACATTTTTAATGTTCCCTTTGATGTTGCCATCTCAAGCAAAGTTTGAAAAATACAACTAAAGCACTGAAGGCATACTGGTCTTTGATGTGAGCTTTTATAGAACGCAAGTCATTGACTACAGAACCTTTCTAGTTTTACCTCACAAATTCATTAAACATTAACAACTTTGCTGCTGCCGCTCCCAAGCGGCGTTCAGACACAGTTGTGTGCGTATATGCCGAGGCCTAACGGCAGGCGATGCTGTGACCCAGGCCAAAAACGGGGAGCTGCAGGAGCGCATGGCCCGGGTTGTGGAGGCCCTGCAGAAGGAGGAGAAGACCCTTGAGGCGTCGATGCACACCGCTCGGCGAGATCTGCAAGAGATGGAGAGGCAGAAGGCTAAACTGGCGGCCGAGTTGGATGCCTTGAAGGGCGAGGGTGTCCGGCTAAAAAATAAACTTGGGTTCGTGCCGCACCGCACCAATTAACAGAAGTTGTAGTATTTGTTTACATTTTTCTATTCCTTCTTTTGTAGATGTTAATTTCTATAAGTTCTGACCATGACAAGCAATTAAATATGCCATTAAATTTTTTTGTGTTTTTTTTTTATTAAAGTGGATTAAATTGTGTTTCTACAGTGACATGGCACTTAATTTTGCCATCTCAATTAAATGCATACCTGTGCCACGTTGCATTAACTTAGAACTCTGAATGTATCGAATCTCACCAGATCTCAAAAGCTAAGCAGGTTTGAGCCTGGATTGAGCTTGGATGGTTAACCCACCATGTACGAGCTGATTGTCATACTCGCGGAGTTACGATCTGAGCAGCAGAGGACAGTGTGATAAAATCAATTGATGTTCTGTGTTTCTATGCTCCCTACTTTCACCAATCGCTACGAAACAGCATGGTGAAGTATGGTTAACCTGAAAAGTATGCGGAGGCCCTCATCCAGCAGTGGGTTGATTAAAGGACTGTCTATGTACGCAATGTGCATGTCTATGTTGGGTAACGATGCGTTGTTTGACTTTCTATCTGTCAGTGAACTGCAAGAAAGCGTTACCCGCCAAGAGGGCGTGGAGGCTGCGTTCAGGGAGTTAAGCGAAGATACTCATGGAGAGCTTCGTGCAGAGGATCTCACAGGTCCTGAGGTGACGGTAAGTGGATTGCTTTGTTCAGCCAAGCTTACAGTTTCACTTTCAATCCTGTGTGCTAATGGATGAGCAATCTTACCGAAGGGCTCGACATTTAATTTCACGTCATTTATGTTGGAAATGTATGTCATTACCAAACCATGCTCTTTGCTGTAAAGTGGATGTTCAAGATCCTTTGGGCGTAATGCGTAAAAGTGAATATTGTCAGCTGAATCCAAACAAAAATGACTGAATTTAAGAAATACAATTCGAGGAATTTATTCACTCTGCATTCAGAACTTTTCAGTCAATGTTGGAGTGCCAAATGTCCCTGATATATTATCTCCTGTCCTGGTAACCTGAGTTACGTTGAGTTAATACAAATACATATATGTACATATAAATGTACAAGTATGTAATATATAGTATATATAAACACATTTCAAATGTAACATTAAGTAAGCGTTGAAAACCAAATTCTAACCCTCGAATATAGAAGCATTGTTATTTCCATTCGCATATGAATAATTAAAAGTAGATTTAAAAATAATGTTTAAGTAAATTCCTACTGAGCAGCTTGTTTAGACGCTCTTTGTCCACTTTGTGAAATGTCACAGAGATCGAGTGTGGAACCAGGCTCAAGCAATGCAGAGGATCAACGGATTGAAAATAAGCTCAAGGATATCAGCAGGTCTGTGCCCCACATTGCTTGCACTGCATGTATGCGATAATCAAATATTGACAATAGTATCGAACCTAATTGTTTTAACATTATATGTAGTGGGAGTACATGTGATTTTTTGTTGGAATTGGCAAATAAGTAATTGTCTTGAGAGTGCCTTTGTTTTAGAGCATTTTGAAATGCTCAAACTTCAAGCAGGAACCAATGTGAATTGAATTTCTGAGTTAAAAAACTATTATAATTTAGTTGTGTTCATTTATTTTATTTTATTGTTTTACCTACGTGACTTTACGAAAGCTTCAAATTTAGAAAAAAAAAACAATTATAAGCCCTGTACTACTGGCTAAAGGGTACATTTGACATTGTTGGAATTTGCATTTGATTTTATTCATATGCAGTTCTTGATTATGCATTAACGGATAACGAGAGACCTAAGCTATTTCCCAATAAGATGTCATTTCAACTGCATTGCATGCCTATTGAATAGACAACACGGGAAGTTTCCCATGCAGTATTCTCTGTGTTTGTCATTAGCATTAGACAGTACATTGCCCAGGAGGAATGTTCCCTGCAGCGCGCACAACGCTTCATAACCGAGCAGATGAGCAGCCTGCGCCACCAGGACAATGCCCTGAGGTCAGCAAAGAGATCACAGCGCACGCTCAGCATTTCTGGCACAACAGCGGAGGGGGACAACTCCCACAGGGTCCTGGAGCAGGTACGATGCAACATGATGAGCACATCGGCTTGTTACATAAACATCTAAGGGGGATTACCACGAAGTTTGTCATTTAAGGGAAGACACAATCCCCAAACAAACAATCATATGTTGTCTTGTACAGTGGTACCTCGGTATACGTCGGTAATTCGTTCCAGAAGGTAGGACTTAAACCGAAAATGACGTAGACACCAAACGAATTTTTCCCATAAGAAATAAAGGGAAAGGAAATAATCCGTTCCAGAGTATAAGAAATTATATTTTATATGGCATATTATACATTAATGGGGTTGTATAAAATAATTTAGACACTACTTATTACTAAAATGCATACATCAATTAAAATAAATGCATAAATAAATTAAATAAAAATACAATTTAACATCACTTTACCTTGCTGAGAGGAGTAGATAGCCTACGAGGATGGTGGTGAGGAACGGGGTCTACGCGGGTACGCGGTGACTCATCCCGACCCATACAAGTTCTAGCAAGCGCGGCATATCCCAAGCAAGACGTCGTATCCTAAGACATTTTTTTCTCGTCAAAACACGACGTGTACCAAATTCGACGTATTCCAAAGCGGTCGTATACTGAGGTACGACTGTATGTGTATAACCTAGACTGCTTGCCCTTGGCTGTGTGACACAAGGTTGAAATGTTCAGCCCTTTTTTCAATGCACAGCAGCTGGATGAAGGCTGTATTATACAGTGCGGGGTGTGGAGAGTCATTTGATAATACATCACCATGCTGGGTCAGTGTGTGTTGCTGCAGGTGGGAAGCAAAGACATGGGAGCAATGACAAACAGTCGAACAATTATATATTTCTGCGCTGCCCTTTGCTGCCCATTGTGTAGCTCAGGAACACATGCTGTGATGTGCACAGTGACAGAATGGTTCGTGTTGTCTGTGTACTGTTGAACTTGGTTTAACACGTAGGCTTTCGCCAACATTATCATCCATAAGAGGTTTTTTTGGGTTAGATCGCGTAAATATATAAATGTGTAGTTAAAACCCGCCATCACCCGACACAGCCAACTAGTAAGGGTTGTCACGTAAACAGAACGTGGCAATTCGTCACTAGTACAGCACTAACCGGTGTGTTGCAGAGCCGAGCCACAACATTTACAATCCGAGTACGACGTTTCGCCAGTAATTACAACTAGCTTCATCAGGCGACAGCCAGATTTGTGGAGAAGTCTAACTGTTTCGTTCCTTATATGGTGACCACGTTTCTGCACTCTTGCGCAAAGTGTGGGGATTACTGAGTCAACTTACATTATGCATGTGCATTATGCAAAGCCCTTTCATCTTGTCCTTCCGGTCTATTGTGTGCATTTTAATTATTTGGGCAGTTTCAATGCTCGGTTTATTTGATTTGGTTTTTGAATAACACTAGCATTGAAACTGCCCAAGTAATTAAGACGATCCAAATACCGTACATTGCGGGAGTAACTGATAAACTAGCCACATGTTTGGAAAAACAAAACACCCGAGTCACATTTGGCACGGTACATAAAATACAGAAATTAATATCTGGTACAAAAGATGTATTACCGAAGCTATTAACAGAAGGTGTGTACAGGATTAACTGCATGTGTGGAAAATGTTATGTTGGGCAAACAGGACGAATGATCAGCACGAGACTAAAAGAAAATCAACCCTTACTAGTTGGCTGTGTCGGGTGGTGGCGGCTTTTAACGACACATTTATATATTTACGCGATCTAACCCAAAATAACTCTATTATGACTGTTGAACTTGTTTCGCACCGTACGGAGCCAACCGTGCTAATCGGAGGCGGGTGAAGGACAACAAACTAAACACAAGAATTTGTAAAGACATGCGTTTTCGATTTCAAAGTGCATAGCTCCAGTGGCTTATATTCACTTTCATTTATTAGGTATAACCCTGTGAGCCATGCGGCTCTTGAGTCGGGTGCAACCGCAACAAACAAAAACATGAATAAGAAACATCTGATCTTGATTTGAAGCTTTCATGACTGCAGGAATCCATACTCTTTGGATCTTTTGGTAAAGTCACGTAGGTATAAAATAAAAATAAATCGTGATCTATTTTTTTAATAAAATAAATCGTGATTTATTTTTATTTTTTCGTGATTTATTTATTTTATACCTACGCGACTTTACCGAAAGAACCAAAGGAGTAAAGAAACATCTGAAACCAAACTATCCAGTGACCATCTTTCTTCGATGGTTAGCCAACATCCTCTGCTGCTGTGAGAATAACCGGGAGTTCATGTGATGGTTTATGCTCCTTGACGAGATCAGCAAGGTTTTGTGGTCGATGTGTGATTCATTTTGTGCTCCTGCATGCAGGAAGCAAAGCATCTGGCTGCGTTTAGAAGCACAATGCGTAAAGGGTTCAGCCTTCTGCGGGAGAAGGAGGAGAAATTGGGGCTGCTGAAGGAGTCCGTGATGGACGTGGTAAAGAGAATTAACGTATATATTTTAGAAATGTTTTGCTTGTTTTTTGACATCATGGATAGCGACGTAGAAAACACAAACATCTAATCATATGTACAATAATTTTTACAGCTGCAGCATACACAGTATACATTTATGCAATGTCAAATACATTTATAGAAAGTCAAGTACAGGAATAAGACAGCCAAGGCAATCAAGCACAAACATAACTTTCAATTCCCATGTTTAGTTTTTAAACTTAATTAAAAAGTGTATTTCAACCATGGAACTAATAATAATTGTCCATTTTAAGTGTGTATTTTTTGTCACATTGGATTGACATTTAGCAAAAAAGTGTTTTCTGTGTTAAATCTAGAGCAAAGTAATACTGGCACGATAAAGATGTAAGAGAAATATTTTACGGTGAGAATCACCTGATCATTTCCGAAACCTGATTATATGACATCACTTGGTTTGCTCCATAAGAAGAGTGTATTAACTTGGAACGCACATTCAACTTTGTAAATGGTGTGCACAATAACCGTTAAACTTGCAGTTATTTGTGTTACAGGTCAACATTTTAATTATCACACGAAAGTACTTTTAACCTGTGTCTTAATGTTGCTGCCTTAGTTGTCAGATGAAGAAAGCCAAGGAGTGCCACTGGATGGCAAGAGAGTTACATTTGATGTCGACATGTCATCGGACGATCTCAGCAGCGAAATCGACTTGGACTTCAGCTCTCAGCAACGTAAGCAAAACGTTTTCTAGAAATTGACCTTCATCTTTAAAATGCCTTTGAACAGATTACCTGGATTGCGCTTCTTCTTGTCAGCTCTAGAAAGCAAAGCAGGTTTGAGCCTGGGTATTGCTAGGATGGGTGACCCCCATAAATATAACAATTTTTATAGGCTGCTGTGGTGCTACGCTTTGGTCAACAGAGAAAGTACAGCCTAATCCATTGTTTCACTGCACTTCTACACTTCCATTTCTATGGTCCTTGCATTTACCAACCTGCATTGGCCAGTATGGTGAAGTATAATCATATAGCCACCATGACCTGTATAGCATGGGGAGGCCCTCTTCCAGCAGTGGATTGACGAAGGGCCATACGTGTACATATGACCAGTCTATCTGGAACATTCATAAAGTTTGTAAGGTACCATTCATAAAGTTTGTAAGATATCAAAAATTACAATATACCAGCAAAGTGCAGACGAAAGGGTTAGCACAGCCTAATCCATCACAACATCATGCATGTTACACAAGTTGCAATTATACACTTATAAAAATGATGACATTGTGGCTCAAACATTTCAGATTAATTTGCCCTTTTTGTTATTATGACAATTAAACATTTATTGTGTCAGAATACATTTGTGTTAAGGAACATTATATCGTGTACTAACTAATGTCTTACATGTTAATGGTCACAACATTTTAAATTGATTTAAATGAGTCTGCGTCAATTGCACGCATTACATCGAGTTAAGTTGAGTAACTCTGCATAATGGTTCGGTTGGCAAGGGCACGTGTAATCACAAAGGATATTAACGGTTGATGAGCCACATTTCCTGGCTTGTGATGTCACGTGGAATATGCCAACAAAATGTAATGGTTTTTTTCCATTCCAAACTGTTAAATTGAACGTTCAATGTAGGCAGCCAGGATATTTGCTTTTAAGCACCAGCTGGGACAATAATGCTCCCAAGGACAACTCTTAAAATAGAATCTCCCTGGATTTGGCTAAGCTGATTTTATTTGCGCATTTGCGTGTGTGGCTTTGACGTGATAATCCGCAGGCTTTACAAACCACTGAAGTGCAAAGGTATACATGCCACTAAAGCTCCAACACATGTCACGCTTTTCTTTACGTCAAAATATGTTTGTTTTTTTAATATGTGAGGAGTTTCAGTTGAAACTAAAAGCATTTTTGTTTATCTGTGACAATGTAAGAAAACCAAGGCAAAAAATGCATGATTTCCATGGATTTGTAATACTCGTGAAAATTGCAGTTGAATTCGTAGCCAATGGAATCCGTATTAATTTGGTGGTAAAATGGAGTTTTGTGTAATATAATGCGTCGTTCTCAATATCAATTGAATTCGTAAACGTTAATCAGTCTTGTGTCCGCACTACATATCTTGATCTTCTTACGACGTTTCGCCAGTAATCACAACTAGCATCATCGGACAACTAGCATTATCAAGCGACATCCAGATTACTGGCGAAACGTCGGTGTCGAATTGTAAATGTTGTGGGTTTACTCTCCAACACCGGTGTGCTGTACGAGTAACGAATTGGCACGTTGTGTTTATGTGACAAACCGTAATAATTGGCTGTGTCGGGTGGTAGCGGGTTTAACGATACATTGATATTTAAGCGATCGAACCCAAAAAACCTCTTATGGATAATATTGGTCACAAAAGCCTACATGGTAAAACATTTTTATATTGTTTTTTTTTATATAGGGATCCCACAGTCTGCTGTGCAAGGCGTTGAAGTGCAGCACCTAAGCTCCTCCATACAGAGGCTGAGTCGAGAACTTACAAACGTTCTCACATTGCTGGGACAGGCGCAGCCTTCGTTAACAACATTTGGCACTCGATTTGCAACAGGTGCCTTACCGCCAGCTGTGACCGGGGGTGTACCCATCTCGGCATACTTCAGGTACCACACGCCCTCTCGTGTTCTGCATCAGAGAGTTTTTTGCAATGTCGTATCATGCAGTAGCATTGCAGCAATTTGTGATGAAGTACTCGGTACCCCTTTTTTCAGTCAGAGTAAAGTTGTAAATGTGAATGTAATCCGGGGTAGAGTAAGTATCGTTTTATTTATTGGGGAACGGTAGTTTAAGTCACTAAAAGTTGCATCAAATATATGATCATATTGTTACTAAGTGACTACATTTTACTCAGTTAGTGACAGATCGGGGCAATTGTTAGATTTTATACGTAAAAGTAATGAAACCAATAAGAATACATCTTTATTTTTAAACTAAGTTATCATTGTGTTTAAGCGGAAAGGGATTCTGGTATTCCTAAAATATACAAAGAATAACGTTTGCAGTATATTTACCCATGCATGTACACACATGTAATCCAGTTCCGATACCATTTGTTAACATTATTTAACTTGTATGCTTGAAGGCCATCCCAGATGGGCCTTGGGTCTTCTGCTCCTCTGGCTCATGCTTGGGGCCCTGTGCCGGCAAGTGTCACTCAGTCTGTGGATGAAATGATGGCTGAGAAGTGGCGCAAGTATTTTCCAGGTTTGTGGGACGTGTGCCCCATTCTGCAGCCAAACATTCTCCGCTGTGAATTTCGACTTTTAACTCTGAAATCCGGGTCCACGCCTGGAGCAGTCGGTTACATGCAACTTGATTGCATGCAACCGACTTGCTAAAACGTGGAAGCAGTTGCACAGCCGATTGCTTACAGAAGAGGTGGACTCTATCTTCAAGCATCGATCCGCCCAGCTATTGTAGCGATGTATTTAATCACATGCACACATTTGGGTAATGCGATTAGAAGTTGCAATCCTGAATAAGTCGCTTAATTTCCTTGTTGCACAACTACTGGCTCAGATGTGGTCAAAGCAGTTTCAGACAACGATACATTTTAGCGATTTTGAGAGCGACTTTGTTGCACAACTGATCGCTCAGATGTAGAACTGGGTTTTCATTATCAGAGCCTTACTTCTGCATTATAACAAGTCGAGCCTTTTTGTGGCCTATTTTTATCCCGATTGAGCAATAGGTCACAAGACTACGCTCTGCATAAATATAGATGTTGTGGTTTCCAGAAATTAATATACACAACTTGAAACTGATAGTATGCATTGTCCATCTGCACTATTTCTATCTTGTTATTCACATCTCATTGGTTATGTTCCCCCACATTTAGGAGGAATTCCCCCACTTGGATCTACCTCCACTATCAGGACGGAGAACATGATGGGATACCTATCTGCCAGGTATCAGATGTGGTGAATTACTTAATTTCATACTATATTAGAAAAAAAGGTTTTCCACCTGGATTTCTGCCTGGCTGCCTGGAATATGGCCAATTGCGCTTGCGCTGTGTTAACGTCACCGCACACATCTGCGTCACCCGCATCCTACAGCGTTGAGCCGGGTTTGTGCTGACTTAATGCCACCACCCACTTCCCACCACCCTGGCCGCATTTGCATGGGATACGCTATCATTTCACACAATGATTATAAAAGTTTGTCTCTGCTGGGCTAAAAGGTTAGCGTGCAGCCCAAAGCTTGGGTGCAGTCCAAAGATTTTCTGCAGCCTAAAGGTCGCATGCGGCCCAAAGGTCAAGTTTGTGGCCCAAAGGTTTTGTGGGCCATTCTCTAGCACATGGGTTTTACTGCAATGCGAGAGATCTGAATGGATACGTTCTGTCACGATGATGTGACACCGATAACACAATCAGGATAAAAAAAAAGGCATCGTGAATATTGACTTGAATTTGCTGTTGTATGAAACTGCAAAACAAACCTCTGCAAACACTTCTGTTCATTATTTATTACAGTTTTGTACCCATATGAACAAACTCCAAGTGAAACAGTTTAGTACGGGAGCATGTGCTTAGTAAGTGGATGGTGGTGTGTTCAGTGAGCAGATACGCCGATTCCAACAAGCTGGAGCCTTAGGAGTCGGTGTGGACCCATCCAGCCTGCAGGACTCGATCGCCCAACACAGAAAGTGGCTGCACGACTTCAGAAAAGACAGCAAATCGTATCCTTACAATGGTGGTGACGTTAATTACAATGACGGCGTTATAGCAATGCCAAAATATTCACGCATTTGGGTAGCATAGCAGTGTGGCCTTTTCCAGTGTTTCGGTTTGCACAGAGCCAACAGTTTCATTGCTGAAGGTTGGCTGGTGGTTATAGCAACGCATGCTCTATCATCAGTAGTGATTCTTTACCAGTGTATTATGATAATAATGATAAACGCTACCATTAGTGTTTATTATCATTTTTATTAAGAGTGGTGACTACTTGACGGGCAACAGGGAGCAGTGCAGCACAATCAATTGTTGTACGGTACTTCTGTTCTTCGACGTACATGTTTCCCCGACTTCACCAACCTGCACTCACAAGAGTGATGTATTGCTCAAGTCAACACGCATGACCCACACGGCTTTGAGAGGCCCTCTTCCAACAGTGGGTTGAACAAAATGACTGCACGTGCACGCGATTGGTATGAAATACAACCAGCGACTTGGAGCCAAATAACAGCCGGATGCCTAAGGATACCTAAGGCAGTTACTCTGTAACATAACCTGTGCGAGGGCATTTCAGCAGTTGCACGCACGCATGCACAGGTTGCATTTATATTATGAAGTGCATATAAAATATTTGTGTGAGTAAGTTGGTGGCATGTCACTAAACTGTGTTGCATTGTTGAAGGTTAAATTATTCCTTAATGGATCAGCCCTCTGATTCCTGCCAGTACTACCATGTCCCTGTCCGGTCGGCCGCTCCAGCTGGGCTTGGATGAACACAACAGCATCCACGTCTATCAACAGTGACGGAGGCCACCTGACGGGGAACTACCAACTTGTGTGCTGCGCGATCCTGGTTCTATGCACTTAGCGGATTTTAGAATGTTTACTTGACTCATTTGAAGCAACAGCTGCAATAGCTTCGAAACTAAGTCCTGATGGGTGGTGTGATTGGGTGCGTTTAATAAAAATGAGGTGGCCAGCACAATTGAAAGGCGTTGTTTTAAAGATGAAGCTTGTATCGCGGATTGACCAAATGGAAGACACTACTTAATTTTACTGTGATACGTGTTCGTCATTTTGGAGGCACGAAATAATGTACGACAGAGGCCACTTGTGACCTGTTTCAGAAGAAATGCAGAACTCGTTCTGTCACCGCACAATTTATTTTTTTAAGAAGTGTTTTTTTTAAGGAAAAAGCATTCACTCTGTGATGATGTAACTCATCTCGGTACTTGCTGATAAGCCACTCATTTTTGAAATCACTCTTAAAAAGTGCCTTCAAAATGCAATGAGCTTGTGGGTAATACATTCTCACACGTCATATGTGTTTAAACGTGACCAATTTAATTGTACAATGAAGATGTTAACATGGTTACAATTTAAATTCTTGATACAACTACGTTGTTTTTTTTTAAAGAATAATTATTCCTACGTAACAAATATGTTACACTTCTTGCATATGAAACTTAAACTGGTTTGATGGACCATATCGTGAACCACTGTCATCCACGCTGCTTCATTGGAGGAACAGCAAATCGACACGAGCTCTCTCCTGAAGCCCTGTCGTGGCTATCAGACCTCCACATTTGAATTTAGCTGCTGAACATCTTGCCATACGCAAGAACAGAATGAGCTTGATCTTGTTCAATAAAGACATAACCATCTTACACAGTGGTATAGCCTTAACTTTATAAAACATAATCTATTTTCTAAGCAATAACATTAAAAATGGTAATTGAATGTAATTTGTATTTGATAGGATACACCGCAACACCTGTATATTTTTTGCTTCAATGTATGTAAAGGTGTGTTATTTAAAATCAGTTTAGAACATTGCTTATACACAGTTGAGTTGTATAAATGTTATAATTAAGGTTTTGTAATACTGTACGTGGCATTTTTAGACCCATGTGCACGCCTGCTTTGTTGAGATTTAACTTTTCCGTTGTGAATGTCACATTTACAATTGATACATTCAACGGGAATTGGGAATCACATCTAATCCAACACGTGAGCATTGGTTTTAATGTATTTTAAGCAATCAAATGGTGTTTGTTGTTGAGCAAAATCTCAAAGTTTTCTTTCGTGTGACATTCAAATATTTTACTTTGTATGTGTGCTGTGTTGCATCATTGCTCTACGTTCATCTTGGGTTTTTGTTCCATACGTGTGTGTGTTTTAAACAATTAAATACCGCACTTAATAAACACCCTCGCTTACAAGTTGTACATTTGGTCCATTTGCATCTGATGTACGTTTAGTGTTGACATTTTGAGAGCAAATGAAAGCCTATTAAGAGCTTTGCCAGGATTATGTATCCACATGGGACACACTGATGGGGAGAGGCGGATTTGTGTGGGATGTTTTGCGGAAGAGACGAGCGTGGCTGATTTAGTTGCCTTGGTTACTCAAAATCTCTGAAGTTATATAAAAAAACACCCACATAGCTGGGCCTCTAGTCCTATGTGATATACCAACAGGGTGGCCAGCATACTGCAGTTATTTGCACTTCAATTGTACGTGTGCCTCCGGTCAACCGTCTAGGAACCCCCCCCAGATGGCTGGCGTGGTGGATGTGTGGAGGAGATAATGTTGTGGGAGAGAGTGGGGAGCGTGACCACCTCCCCTTTGGCCTTAAGCGACTTATGCTAGAAGCGAAACTGCCCCGAACGCAGCCGGGAGTCCACGCGTGGCACCCGAACCAGCTCCATGTGGTTCCAATCCCTCTCGTCCGCCGTGGACACTATGTTGGCGACTTTGTTCGCCATCCTGTACGTGGTAACCCGCAGGGTCAGCGAGGTGAGCGCCCCGTGGTGTTTATGTGCGCGCACATTATATGTAGATATCAATGTGCATTTTAGAAGCGTACATTCATTGTGTATACCTTGCAATAATAAGACGAGTGAGTGGTTGTCGTTGCTTAAGTCTTGACACGATGGTTTTTTTTTCAGAGTTGATATGCACCCGTGTTAACTTTCTTGTTGAATCATAGTTGCTCATTTTAATGGGCCAACGACGCTTGATTTGAAAGTGCACCTTTTAAAACGTGACGAGGGCTGAGGATTTTCGACGTTCGAGTGGTAACGCGACACGACACAGCTCTTTGCGAATGGGTCGTTCGCTTTGACAGCGGGCCCCGGTGGCTGAACATTCGGGGCGACGCAATGCAATCCGCAACGTGCTTGTTTGCGCTTCCACAGCTGAGCTTTGATTTCTTCAGCAAGGAGCAGCAGCCCGTCCCGTACCAGCTGCAGTACCCGCTGCCCTGGCATGTGCTGTCTGTCTCGCAGAGTCGCCGCAGCTCCAGAGTAGAGGTACGGACACCTGTGTGTGTGCGTCTCAACCCTCTCTCACCGTTGCTCCATCTCGGCCCCTTTCAGGTGTTAAGAATGCGTCAAAGACAAAGGTTCCCCGTATAGCCTTGATAGACTTTTGGGGCAAGTGCTGTGAGCGAGTAGCAGCACCTATGGAGGCTGGCACGGCACACGAGGGGGTGGGTGGCCAGCGCCACGCCCGGCCGCCTTTGTCTCCCGAGTGGTGATGTTTACGCACCGTGCTAGGTAGTCATTTGAGGCTGAGTCGACGTAGGGGAGGACCCAGGGCCGGTTCAGATAATCGTCCCTGGTGTTGCCGAGAGCTGGAATCACCCACCCAATCTTACTTGCACGCACAGAGGAGGCCCACATTTCTCAATGTTGGTGAAATGGAAACAACTGCTCGCTTTCTTACGCAGTCAATCAATTTACTCAAACTTTCCAAAAAGTAACGATTGCAAAATAAATGGCATTGAGAATAAACAAATTTCTATTGAAAAAATTGTAACATTGAAAATGTATGAAATTAAGTGGCACGCTTTCACTCTGATGTGTTTTTGGGTCATTGCACGCATTGTTTGGCATAAAGTCCGACGTTTCTCTTCACGTACTGGGTGCTTTTTAAATCCTTTATATTAAGTTCACTTGCTTGCTTGAGCGCTTGCTTGCGCGCTTACGACCGTGCAAATCTTTCGGTCGTTTTTTTACCCACTTCCCGTGATCCAATCGAGCTGACATTTTGCACACAGACTCGTTGTGCGTGACAATTTATTTTCGTGAAATTTTTTTTCCAAAATTTTACACTTTTAAGGAAAAATAAATATATGTAATTATCAATTGCTTAATGGTGGCAAGCAATCATCTGACCCATAGGTGGCAGCCATCTCAAGCCAGAGGACGAGAGGACTCTAGCCGCCACGCATATAAAGGATTTATAGTGAAAAACTTTGTTTTTACTGGTTAATTTTTAAGGAACTGATTTCAGACGTTGGACATCATGCCAAAAAACACGCGGTACAACCCAAAAAAACGAGTTTCTACCTGGCCTAGATTTGATTCCCGACAGTCTGGGAATTGGTACGTGTGTGTGTTTGGGTGGCAAGCATTGATTTGTACCGAGGTCTGGGACTGGTATTGTGTTGAACCTTATTACAGAATGTGGCAGTGCCCAAGGGCTGATTGAGAAATGTCAGGATTTGGTCAACAGTCGAAAACGTGGCGACCCTACCGAAAACGGATTGGAGCGCCATACAGCACAACCGCGAAAACCGCTGTAGCAACATAGTTTGACATTTTAAATGGAAAAGGGGGAGACTCAATGGGTGTAAAGTAGATCTTGATCTAATCATGCGGGGATTGACCTCGGCATTTCTCTGCCCAAAGAGAAATGCAACAATATTCTGAGAAACGCACAACAAATATTAATAGTTAACACAATAAAGGTATTAATCATGTATTTGAGCCAGATTTTTCCACTTTAGCCACCCGTGAACGTTATACATTTTAATGAGCTCAACATGCCCTAGATCAAGGCAGGGTTCATAGGGGGGGGGCAACGGTTGGCGTCTAAGTTTCAGCATTTCACCTGAACGCCATCCCCTATTAAGCACATGAGGGATTGAGGCTCGTCGTGCTCAGTCAATTGACTTAATAGAATGAATTATAGCGTGACCTCTTGCGGAGTTTATTAATTAGAAAGTTTCGTGCCCGTATGTCCAAATTAATTGGTTGAGAGAAAGAAAGAAAAGGCCCCCGAGAGTACTTTCTCAACAAGGCAAAGCTTGAAGCAGCGCACCCATTTCCTAATTAGAGTGCGGTGGAGATTTCACATTGACGTGCGGAGGTTTTATTTACCCGAAGGACAATCACTGTGGCACTTAATTTTATCGACTCGAAAAGCCCATGGACTGCTCGCTCGGCGCCTGCCTGGGATTTTAATCTCTCCACAGCCAGTTCTATGATTATTGACCAACCGTTTTCATGCAGTTGATTGCACGTGGTCGCTCACAAATGTATTACCACTGGCGGATGTAACTTAATTCGTGTGGCGGGGACGCGTATTTATCAATGCAACTCGGTCCTGAGTTTGTGTCATCTCATCCACGTTGCAAATTTGTGCCGCGATCTATACTACCACGCGTTTTTCTTTCGTGTTTTGATGCTGTGTTGCGCACACACGTAAATGCTTTTGAAAGTTTTTGGAATCGACCAATGTGATTCATTTCATCTGGCCGTGTAAATTGAGCCGCTTAGAAAACGGTGATCGCTCAGTTTTCCCGAATGGCACTTTTACCGCTGAAAAACTACCAGCATAGAAAGTGTTCATTATACATCAAAGGCACTCATAATAACTATTATTGCGATTATTGTGATGTATATATGGGTAGAGTGGGAAATGATGACCCAGTGGCTGGCACATTGTGCTCCAAAAAATCCAGGGACCCCAGTTTGATTCCCAGCCGCAGCTAACATCGGTGGCAAGTGTTATCAGAACCCTGTAAGTGGTCTGCCCTAGGTTGGCACAGCTTTAAACCAGACGTAAATATCAGCAGCACGGGTGAGACAAAGCGGGCTGGGTGTGATGTTGCTCACACCATTCTGTCATGTGCTGTGCTGCTTTTAAATAGGTGCCCCCTAACAGCACTTACCATAACAATGTGAACATCTGTACGGACGATCTTTGTTGTGTGTGCGTATGAGTGCGTGTCGGCATTCGTACGGGAGCAATAGTGTCGCGGTTAGCACGCTGCGTTACAAACCCGGTGACCCGAGTTAAACTCCCGCTCACGGCCAACACCAGTGACGATTATCTGAACCGGTCCCGGGCCTCCCCTCGGTCGACTCAGCCTCAGATGAGTACCTGGTGTGGTGTGTAAACATCGCCAAAGGGGACACGAAGGCGGCCGAGCGTGGTGCTGGCCACTCACCCCCTCGTGTGCCGTGTCAGCCTTCGTAGGTGCTTGCTAACAGCACTTGTCTCAAAAGAATGCTGAGCCTATTCGGGGGACATTTGTCTTCTCACAGAGTGATGGTAAACCTCACCGAGGAAGTGAAACTTTACGTATGAATATTAACAAACAGAAAGGTTATGTTTATTCTTACCGTATTTACACTACAAAATGTCTATTGCCACGTTCCTTTCACATGTCAGCATATCATTGACTACGGTCACGATTATCATCAGCCATGGTCACTCCACTGCTGGATGAAGGCATCCCCCAAGCCGCAGTCACCTCTTATGACCCCGTGATGTTATAATCCACCGAGCATCTGCACATGAGCTTATTTCACTGCCATGTCATCGGCCAACATTTATTGCTGAATGAAGGATTACAATTTTCTGTAAAAGTAACATATATATAAATATTTTGTATGCACATTTACTTGCAATGTGTGGTTGTTCAAAGTGTACGCTGCCACGTATGTTCCGTTGTGTTTCTTTTTCAGAAATTATGTCACGTTTACGATGGCTATTGAGTTTTGGTGAGTCGTCTGCAAGCCACGATTTTCGAGCCTCAACATTCGAGAACAACAATTCACGATTTCGCAAATATTTACCATTCACCTTCTAAATATGCTGTATATTCCTGGGTTGACATTAAACAAGATAGTACATTACAGTACTTGCCTTGCCAATGGTGATATATAAGATACATTTTGATAGATACGCAGGATGCAATATTGTTGGCATTATATACACTCAAGTTAAACTTTTTTTTAAAGTGGGATGCATCAACAATCGACTCCTTGCACTGTGGAGATATTATCAGCCGAAGAAGATTGCTTACCCATGCTAAGCGCGTCCCATCACCATTCTCTGAATTGTGCAGATCGGTCAAATCGCAAATGGGGGTTCATCACGCTCACAACATTGGCCAGTGGCATTTAAAAGACACGTTACACGATTTTAAAACGCCGGATGGACACATTGCAATGAATGAAACAAAATAACGACTTTGTTTTCGATTTAAAGCTTTCGTGACTGCAGGGATTCATATTCTTGGTTCTTTCGGTAAAGTCCCTTCTACGTGACTTTACCGAAAAAACCAAGAAAAATAATAACTGTGAATCGGTTTCTTTCGATGTTTGTGATTACCGATGATTTTAACACAATAAAGTAATTCAGGGGGCCCTACATTAAAGTTTTAATTGACTCTTGTACATTACACGAAATTATATTTAACATTTGAACCTATTGCTAGTACAACTGTGCGCGGTATAAAAACGAAAATTATTTTTTCAAAACATTTATTTTCCCTCGATTCGCAACTACGGTCAGAAACTTTGGCGGGGTGGTGCGTCAAAATCAGTTCTCGTGATGTTGAAGCAGTCGGAAGACGAACGCGATGAGCAGCTGAACGCGAAGCTTCGCAGTCTTTTGCCCTATAGTAGCACCCAGCCTGATGACGATTGGCTGCTCCGTGTTCCAAAGGGAAATGTTGACTCATCGTGCTCTCCACTTGGTCGGGACGGTTAATTGATTCAACATGACCCAAATCAACGGTTAACATTGACCTTTGTTTTGGCGAGTTTCAGCAAACTGAATTTAGAAATACTAAGTTTATCACTCAGAATGTGGTTGAAATAGGTCTATTACATAAAAGCAATGTTTGTAATGCAAATAATGAATGATAATATGCTGCTGTCTATTTAAAATGTGTCGATTATAAAACGTCACTTTAAGACCATGTGGAACATTTAATACAAAGGGACTCTATATTCTTGGTATTATTTGTGTCTGCTGTAGTTAACGCATATGTACTTGGAAGATCGTCGTGGTATTTATATGTCTTGTAAGTTTATAAAGCAGAGTGATACACAATACTTCGTGATGATCCCAGACGGTTGGAGGCAATATTGGAGAGTTGTGGCCTTTAAAACCCGTAGCATGTGTGTCACGGTGGTAATGCGACGCTAATATATTTCTATTAAACAAATGATTTTGTGATGCTGCGTTGCCAGCGCACGGTGCAGTGCTGAGACCAGAGAGAGGACAGGAGGTCGACTTGCATTCAAACATCTTCTTCGTGCTGTACGGCTGACGTAGATGCAGGTGGTCTAGCCAGACAACCGCGTCAGTAGCAGCGGAGTGTCATCGCTGTGATGTTTCCTTTGTGTTTTATGGATCGGGCATCGCGTCGTGATATGTTGTACGGATCTGTTTTGGATAACCACAGTCGCACACTGGAGCGTTTTTTTGAGTTTCCATTTGGCGTGTTAGTAATGTGACCCCACGGCATTTATGTTGAACATGATTTGGTGATGCTGCGTTGGCAGCGGTGCAGTGGTGAGACCAGAAAGGGGACAGGGGTTCGACTGGCATTCAAACTGAACACCGTGCAGCCGTTTGGCCGGGATGAACCTTCACTTAAAAACACAACTCTATCATTGAGCGCTGGACAAACTTTACCCGTTTTTAGTTTCATTTGATTTATTTTAGCTATATATATTGGACCCAATGAATGCACTACTGGGTGGATTGTGCAAGAACAAATCTTCCCCACAATGCAATGTACCAGCGAACATGTTACAACTTTACTTGTAATAGCAATTAGTTTATTTAGTCATATTTTTATTATTATTGGATGGTTTATCTGTTACTACTATTCGACAACTATTCATATGCCAATTTAAAAACGTATCAGAAAACACTTTTAAAAATGTTATTCTCATCAGGTCCCATGATGTAAAGAGCAGTTACCAATTACCAACTCTTATTATCCATAAGATGCATTTTTGGGTTTGATAGCGTAAATATATGTGTCTTTAAACCCGTCACCACCCGACACAGCCAATTAGTAAGGTTTGTCACGTAAACAGAACGTACTAATGAGTTACTGGTTCAGCACACCGGTTGAGTTGGAGAGTAAACCCACATTTAATTACAACTAGCATTATCAGGCGGATAGCCAGATTTGTGGAGTCATCTTCCTCTTACCTTCTTAAATAGATGGATAAATGTGATGGCATCACTTGTGAGCCAAGCAGGTGAAAAGGCAGTGGGGGCCTCTATTAATGTGATATGAAGAAGGGCCATTGTGTGAAACATTGCCTATTATATATTGTATATTTCTAGTTTTCCTTTTCAGGCCAGTGGTTTTGATCAATGTGTTGGTGTCATATATTTATATTGCAATGTTTGTATGGTAGAGGTGTAATGATCCATTCGATTAATCAATATCTATAATAATGCTCATGTAGTGCATCACATGTGTAAGAACTGATGTATTTCAATCTGTATGTGTTGTTGTATGTACTGACTTTATGTGATCTATTAAATTGAATCGGGCAATCGTGTCATGCCGTCATGTGTGTAGGTTTGCGTTCTTGATTTACTATACAGCATTCTCTTATAGAGTGTTTTAAGAATATGGTTACAATTTAAAATGAATGTCCTTTTGAAAATACATGTTTCTTGTAATGCTCGGAGTAAAGCAAAGTCAATTATAAACATTCTTTATTGTGATACTTCGAGTAAAACAATGCAAATTTGATTACTTTTACAAAGCACACATCATTTGGAATTATATGGTTGCATAATTAAAGACATTTCTCCCTGATTGTATAAAAAACATTCGAAACTCCCTCTTATAATGTGAAACACATAAAAAAAACCAAGGCGATCATTAACGAGATATATAAAAGCAACTACTAAAACCGAAGATAGATTGCAACGTATATTCTGGAATTAACAATGTAACATAAAATAATGATTCGCAGAGAATGACTTTTGAAAAACAAAATCAACAAACCTACTTCACATTTTCCACCTGTCAGAATAAGTGACAGATGTATGTACTGGAAACGCTACTACTATCATGATGCACAGCAGAAGGCACTACAGTTTGTGTTCATGATGGACAATAATAACATCTCTTCAGCCTGGCTCTGCAGTTATGCATGTATAGAACCCGAGTTAATATGGGCAAACACGAAAATCGTTTGCAATAAATAGGCAAGATAATTTCTGTGGGACTCTACTGGCACTGATATTGGTTGTTTATAACCCCTGACAGTTATATCACTGGGCAGTTCAGAGCCTAATAAATCGAGCGTCTTGGCACGGGCGTTAATTCCTGCTTCTCTACCAAACTATCGGTTCCATCCTTCTTGACACAACAAGACATCGTTTTTAACTCTTTATCGCATTGCCTTATCTAACGAAGGCTGTGCTTGCTTCACTAGGCTCCGACTTCGCATCTACTGCCAGGTATGTAAAAAATTAAGAGCTTGCGTTGGGTTCAATGCATCTCTCCTACGGTCGCGCGCCTTTGAGATTGCGATGGAAGGATATTCCGCCAGCGTCCCTGCGTCGTCGTACAACGGTGGCTCTCGGCGGTTACATGAGAACAGAAGCCGTGAAAGCGAGAGGGAGCAGCAGGGCTGCAGTCTGGTAGGCTGGCTTGGAAGCCGCCGAGTTTTGACCTTCCGATGTGCTCGGCTTTTCCTCTGTCGGACACAACAAAGATCAGTTAGTTCAGCCGTTCAACATGTCAACAATCAATCATTCATTATTCATCAATTGCCCGAGTTAAAGCCAACTAAGATTCAGTGCTCATTTCTTTTCTCATTGGAGATTGGATCTAATGGTAGCTACTTGGAAGACCTTTCCTAGTTGGGGCGCAGGAAAGTTTTCTGTTTGTAATGTTGGTAAAGGCACACCATGGATTACACCTGTGAATGGTGTTGCAGGGTGTTTATTGTAAGATTTGACAGCAGGCAGCGTACTCGAGTAATGACCTGCTGTTGACTTGTTGCGAATTGTGTTCGCTTATTATGGATGATTATACAGTACTAACCAATGTCTTACCCATTCTCCCAAACAAAACAACACGATTCATAATCCGGTTTCCAGTTAAAACTGTTTTCCAAAAATCTGCATCATTTTGTAATTTTGTGTTAATCCGGGGTTAATTTCAGCTGGAGTTCTCCCGGCTGAGCTCTAGGAAATATTTCTCCGTCCATTTCACACCCCTCTCGGGGGAGATGGGGCCGGGGGTTGTGGCGGGTGGTTTCCAGGGGGTTGGGAGCCCAATGTAAAACAAATAAAGCGATTGGTGCCCGTCGATAATTCAACTTCACCGTCAGATCACGTTGCATGTAAATTTAAGATTCTTTCTGTAATTTTGCGTTCGCTTTCCGATTTGCAGGCGCTTCAAAATTAATAGCAGAAGAACATTTAGATATCACTTTTACATTTCAATTAGCCCATGAACCACGGCACGGTCGAACAATTTATAAAGAAAGCACTGCAGTTGACTATGCTACCAATCAGGACTGAGCTAATTGGCGCGTCACTCTTACGGAACTGATAAATAAACATTATGGGAAGCAATTAACTATTTTTTATCAGTACTGCATACCTGTCAATCCATACGGTGTACCTGTATTATTGTATAGGGAATTTGAGTTTTCAGGTCCATACGGTGTACAGCCGTTTCAATATTGGCAAACATTTGCTTTTCTCCTTTGTGATGGGACTTTGTAGAATGAATGTTGAGATTTATGAGGGCACGGGGTGACCAGTAACGTCTGAATTGGTCTGTAAAAAGGTAGGTACTGATAATGGGTTCACAGTTATGGTACTGTATATGTAGGTCCTTTAAAATTGTAAACTCAAGGTTTGCTTCGACTATCTAATAACTATTTAGGAACAAACACATTCTATAGTAGGCAGTCCAAGTGGACATTCACAGTTTGGAGAAACCGGTGCCATCTCGAGGTCACTATATCGTTGCTCTATCACGCCGTGTTTATTCGAAACCCTTTTACCTTTTCGTTCAAGCGGACCAAGAGTCATGATCTTTGTGTCCTTTTCTGAATCGGGAACTGCATTTCTCAGCGAGCACCTCTGCATCGACAAAACAACAACAACAACAAAATAACAACAACAGTTACTCGGCCAGAACCACACACGCGTTTATCTTTTATCAAAGCGGCGGAGATGACAACGACGACGACGACGCCGTTAGGTTTGAGAGACGTGGCGGTGGGCACCACGGGGGTGGTGGTGGTGCTGTCTGGTACCTTGGTGCACACTGTGGACTGAGAATCACAGACGGCCACCCTGCAGTGAAGGTGGACATGGTTGTAGTTGCCGACGAACTTGAAGACCTTCATGGAGAACTTGGAAAACTGCGACACCCCGTTCTCAATTATCTTCACGGAGGCATCCTGCGTGGCCGGGCAGCTGTTTGTGTGCATAGAGGTGGGGGGGGGGAATATGTTAGCTTACGTATTGAAGCAAAAAAACAAAAACATCATCGTACTGTACATACAGTGCTGAGAAAACACATCTGTACAATGTGTCGGGCAGTGTTGACACCGTGGCAGTAGTTGGTGCGCCGCACGATGAACCCATTAAAATAAGTTCACTTCCCAATCATGGTTGACGTCGGTGGCGGGTGACATCCGAGACAGCCCATGAACCCTCACTTCCCCTACCCACGACCGGCGTGGCGATGCACAGTCGAGCAAACACCGTCGAGCCGACACGGTGCGTGCAAACTCTCCTCCAGCAGTGGCTTGGGAGAGGTCGGGCACCGTTATCGCCATATATACCCTCATTATTTTCACGATTCCTTTGCGGTCGGCGCATTTCACCGCGGGCCCGGTGCGACCGAACGAGCCGTCCCCCGGCGCTGGTTGTGACCTGTTAGTGACGAAGATGAACTGCACTGGGTGGTTGGGGTCGGCGGTCGGGGTGGCCCAGCAATCGCGGATCTGCTGCTTGAAGCGCGCGGGGTCGCCGCCGGTCAACGTGATGCCCACGTAGAGGAACTCGTCGGTGCCAAGGCTCACGGTCGACTCGTACACGCTCGTGAACGCGTCGCTCTTGTACAGGCGCATCTGCAGAAGGAACTTCCCCGGTTGCGTCGGAATCGTGATTTCCGTGTTGCTGCAACCGATGAAGAGACGAAGGTTATTAGTTTTGACGAAGTAACGGTTCACATGTCGCCTTGGGTTCAATTTGTGACCGCGTAGACCAGCGTTTGCTAAACCGCGACATCCCTGCTTTTGCATGCTATGCGTGCCAGATGACTGATAAACGATCATTGATTTGAATCAATCTCATGCAACAAACATGTAGACACAAAAACAGCTGCAATTCGTCACGAGGTAACGGTCAGTCCTCCGCAGCACTTGTGCCAGCCGAGGTGCACTTAGAGGCCATGTGTAATGTTGAAAACTCGCTGGCAGGAGGCCATGGGACAGACCCAGGTGTGATGGGTTAACCAACTGAGATGACTGGCAGATGCACCACCTGTGTTCCCCACTGTGTCAATTCGCTATGTTTTAGTTACTCGAGTCACTGCTCAAATGCACACTCTTGCACGCACACACAAACAAGTTCTCTCACTCATTTTGAATCTGCACTCTTCACATTACGTCAGACACGTTTAGCAATTAGCAGTCGTGTGCAACTTGCAACAGCTTAATGCAGGGGTCGGCAACCAAAATAACACGAAGAGCCATTTCTTTCCAATTCAGTACAAAATTCAGTATTTAAAGAGCCGCAATGCATCTGAGTACATACTGTACATACGTACATATCGTCAAGAAGCAGCCTGTAAAGAGCCGCATGCGGCTCCGGAGCCGTAGGTTGCCGACCCCTGGCTTAATGAATACCAAATTGAAAATTAAGGTTATGTATTTTGTATGCATTCGTTGCTTACCGAGCTGAGACTATTTAGATTATTTTGCTGCGATAAATGCCCAAATGATGAGTCACTTTGTTGAGCTATCATTTGTGGGCAGGTTGCTTCTGAGAAATGAGTTAATATCTCAGTAGGCTTTGGCTGGTAGGATGGGGATGGTTTAGTTTTATTTGTATGCGTTTGGGTGATTTGTTTACCTCTCTTGTACTTTGCACTATCATGTTTTTCTATTGTTTAGTGTAACATTCTTTCGGTAAAGTCACGTCGGTAGAAAAAATAATAGATCACGACGTTTCGATCTCAACAACAAGAGGCTGTCTTCACCATTGTTGCGATCAAAACGTCGTGATCTATTATTTTTTCTACCTACGTGACTTTACCGAAAGAACCAAAGAGTATGGATTGCTGCAGTCACGAAAGCTTCAAATCAAGATGTAACATTCTTACCCGCCCCTACTGGACACCTGTAAAAAATATCTTTATAACTCATCGGGTTCCTCCAGTGTGAATAAATATTATGATTCTGAAATATTCTATCAACTCGCTACACTTGGGAACCCTTTTATATCACTGGTGGCTGAAACCCAGATTTCAACCCATCATCTCGTCAGTGGCAGCTCAGTGCTCTTGACTCCTGAACCACGTGCCTCCCTCCTCCAAAAGTGGCATTGGCCAATCCCAGGGCAACTCACTTGATGGTCGGCAGCACGGGCGTGGACGAGGCGTTATTTTCGATGGGGTACGCGCACCCAAACTCTATGGTGATCTTCTTCTGTTGCGTAATCGCGGGGTGAGTACTTGGATCCACGACTCCTCTGACGGCATTCGTGTAGATTATGTGGGTTGCGTTCGTCTGCAGGGGTGAAACGCCAAACAGTCACCGTCAGTTGTTGGAGGGCGGAGGCGCCTGAGCGTAGGGCACCACTTTCATTGCTCAGCACCACAGAGCAATGCATTATTCTAATGCACCTTCATAACAAGAAAAATAAAGATCCCCCATATAGCCTTAACAGACTGTTTGAGCGAGTGCTGTTAACGACCACGGATGAAAGCCAACTCGGTACATTAGTGCTATTTACCTAGGGGAGGCCCAGGACCGGTTCAGATATTATTTACCAATGCTGGCTGTAGAGCAGGAATCGAACTCGTTGATAATGCACAACATTTGTAAACGGATGTTTACAGCCAGTGTGGGCATCACCATCTCAAAGCATTTCCACCCCAAAACGAACAGATGACTTTGAGACGTATTATTTAACCAGGGGGGATGGATGAATGAGTTTGGAATTACGTGGATAATTGTGACCACTTACAATGACATCCTACAGTTTACACCTGTGTATCTGATTGGGCCGCTGCTTTGGTTCACAACAAAGTCCTGTCCTATCAGTTTTACAATTACCTGATCCTGTTAAAGTCCCCTTCACTCCACATGTCTACGTATTTTATTTCTTTATTAGAATGATTTCAATTCGGGTAGTTTAATGACAGCGTGCGTACTCATAGTTTTTACAATGGTATAAATGCTCACGTTTAACTGCCACATATATTCACGAACAGCCCCTTTTGTCAGGCGATTTCTGGACGAGGGCCTCACTGCAACGTATGGGTCATGGGGGTTAGTTGACCAAACTTTACCACGCTGGTAAGTGCGGGTTGGTGACGGCGGTGAAGCATAGACATGGAAGACCAGCAGAGTACAAGAATGGATTTAGCATCACTGCCCTCTCTGCATAGCCCAACGGTACGAGCTGATAAAACAAATGCAAAGCATTGTTGAGTAAACAAATGGATGGGTGGGCGGTCATAGCAAGACAGCCTTGTTCATAATGAGTTTGTTTGTGATGCTGCATTATTGGCTTGTGGTGCACAAGCACCAATAACAAAAAGACTCAAACACAACTCGTCAGTAGCACTGCCTTAAAAGGAAAACATTTATAACAAGCAACGTTACTGGCGACGGCCCTCCTTCATAGCAGAGAGATCATCATCTCCAGGAAGGTCCATTGCCCAAAATGTCGTCTATTTAAACAGAAAATATTTCTGAGCTGTGATACTGACAAATGTGTTGAGGTTTTTGGTGGACGGATGGGCGGGCGGGCGAGTGGAGGCGAATGGGCGGGCAGGCGGGAGGTTGAACGGAAAGTCAGAATACCGTCACTTGACTGCCACAGTGGTCGCTGGTGCTGAGGATTGTGGAGAAGTACACTTGGCCTCCTGTGTCATTGCCTCGGCAGGCGGGGCTGTTGAGGTGCAGGTACTGCACTGTGAATCCCTTGTGGAACAGCTGGCAGCTGGACAGGGCAATGTTCATCTCGGTGGCTTCACAGCTGAGCGTGTAGTTCACAGAGGGGCCTGTGGACGATAGGTGTGCGCAGGACGCACCACGAGTTTTCATTGGGGGATTCGCAGAGTTTTGGCGGCTTCCGATCTTTTGGTGCACAGAATCTGAGTATCCCTTTCACCATAATTTTTATTATTAGTATTATACTAATATTGGTATGTTATTCGGCCTGGCCAGACACAACTGTCAATTGCAAGATTGTCATTTACAAAGAAAATATTTTTTTTCAAAATCTGATGCACGCGGTCAACATAGCGGCCACTTTTGGCTGCAGAGGTGACGCAAACTCATTAAGTTAAATGTATGCGATGCCATGTGCTGCGAGCTTAAGAATTGATATTTATCAATTAAATTATGCATTTCCATTAGAACCTCTATCCATCAGAACAAAAGACTATATATATTACAGTCACTGTTGAATTCCACAAGCAGTGGTATGTATCAGCCCCAGGGGATAGCGTGTTAGGTCACACCATATCAGGATTTGAACTCAAAACCTTCGCTGTTGCGAGTCGCCCGCTCCGCCATCAGGCTGGATTATATAACAAAGCAGAAGAAATGACGTTGAGTGATTTTTTGGTAAAATGCGCCGGGTTTGTGCACAGCCGTGTGCGTACCTTGCGAATTCTCATCGCAGTAACATCCGTAAATCCCACTGTTGGAGCCGCACCACTCTCGTTCACCGCAGGAGATGGCGCTGCATGGGTCAGAGGCGGCTGGAAAAGAAACAACCACGTGGAAGGAAACGTTGACTTGCAAACACGGCTCATGTGGAGTGGCTCACCGGCATGGCTCGCCGAGACGTGAAGAGATAAATATTCGCGAGATGAGAGAGAGATAAACAAGAGAGAGCTGTAGAGAACATGCAAACTCCAAATATACAGGAGTCAGGGTCGGGATCAAGCCCACGTGCTCCTGTATACCAGGTTAGGTAGTTAACGTCTCACTACCGTAGCGCCCAACTACTGCTTTTTTTGTTTGTTTACATAGTTGCAGAGCACAGTGCCCAAAGGGCCAAAACGTCAAATTGCCAGCAACAAACAGCACTATAAAAGTTATAATCGAAAAGAAGGGTTAACACATTACTTGGATTGAGCAAGATCAGAGGGAGCAGTGCGAGCGAAGAAGCAGAAAGAGAAGTGTTTTGGCCAGCAGTGCAGTGGTGGTTGAACAGTGTGGATACACGAGGGAAAGTGGAGATGTACGCAAGCCCCCCGTGTCTGTAGGCACATTTTATTAAGCTCTACCGCCAGCACAACCTAAATTAATGTGTCCTGCCGGACGATGGAATGGAGTCGTGTAGTCGGCCATGGGGTGCCGCACTTACGGCATCCGCTGGGGCCTTTCCAGTCGCCGAGTGGCACGCCAGCCAGGCCGCAGGCCTGTGCGTAGGCCTCGAGGGCACGGCACAGCTGCAGCTTGGTGGCCTCGTAGCTGCACAGATCGTAGACGCAGGACTCCAGGTAGAGCGCAGGGTCCACGAACCAGTGGCAGCTTCGGAAGGGACCATCGGGATCGGACAGCACGAAGCAGTGTCCCCGCATCTCCTCCTCGTCGCACCTGCCCGGCTCCACATGGTCCATGGTGTCCTCGCAGCTGGGGAGTGAGCGAATGGGTCCAGTTTAGATACACGCACACAACGTACTTTGTTTTTTTACCAGGTAAGGCCCACTGAGCTATATAGCTTTTCTTTCAGAAGCGACCTGGCCACAAATGATAGCTTAACAAAGTGGCTTATCACGTGGACATTTATTGTAGCCAAATGCTCTAATCGCATGTTTCCTAATGTGGAGGGAAAAACCGGAGATCCCGAAGAAAAATCCACGCGACCCCGGGGAAAACATGCAAACTCCAAATATTCAGGCGTCAGGGTTGGGATCGAACCCACCTCGATCCTGCACACCAGGCAAGGTAGTTAACATTTCACCACCATGGCACCCCAAGGGACACACGCACACACAGACCATATAGAATATATAAATAAGCTGCAGCTATCACTTGACATGCATATTGCAATGGTCTAATCACACCAAGACCAATGGAGCTAGTAGGAAGCTGTTATTATTAGGAGCTATTATTATTAGAAAATCACTGCAGCTATGCACTTTCAAATCTAAATTGAAATGTTTTTCTTTAAAACTCCCTTTTGTGTTTAGTTTATTGTCTGCCCCGCACTTCTGATGAGCAGAGGTGGCTATGTACGGTGCGAAAGAAGTTCAACATACGTATACAACGTGACAAGAAGGAGTAGAGAGAGATTCAGGCAAGAGGTAGAGAAGGTGGAGGCAGCAACGACGCATTTCGAGTTCTGTATTTGGCTGCTAAACATGATAAGCTATCATTTGTGGCCAGGTCACTTCTGAACAAGAGCTACATAGTTCAGCGGGCCTTACCTGGTAAAATAAAAATAGTTTAGTTTATTGAGGCATTCGCCCGTACGCCTGCCCACTACCCACTCACCCGGCATCCACGTCGGGTGCCCTCCAGCTGCGGCCGAACTGCCGGGCGTCCAGGGCGATCTCCCCAAACGGGGTCAGGAGGTCGTCACGGGGGTCGCCGTTGTAGTTGCCACACATCCCGCAGAGGCGGCCCGCGTACTCTGCGCCCACTTCCACGTGCGCCGTGTACAGCCGGTCGTAACGCACGGTCACATTGTGCGGCGTGCGCGCCACCACGAAGCCGCTCCCCTCCTCGGAGAGGGCGACTCCTTCGGCGACGACGACAGGGAGCAACGTCCGCGCTCCGTTGACCTTTGCGCGCGCGGTGGACGGGGAGAGCATGGACGCCCGGGTGAATAACTGAAGACAGAAGCTTGTGTTGCCTCCGAAACGTCGTGATTTTTATTTTATTTTTTATTTTACTTTTATTAATTTGAATTTTTTACCTACGTGACTTTACCGAAAAAAACCTAAGAATATGAATCCTTGCAGTCACGAAAGGTTCAAATCTCGAATTAATAACTGTCCCACCACTGAATTTGAACACTTGGGCAATGCAATACTACCATTACGGTGAATCAGTGACATTGGAGAAATCTCAAGTGTCTGGATGAAACCCATACTTATTTGGGGACAATGATTAAGAGTTCCTGACACATCTGTCTACATTTTTGGAGAAAGGAACGGTAAAATCTGATTGATGAGATCCACAGGTTTTCAATGTACAGCCAAATGAAGGCCTCTCTCTTCACACGAACGCTACTACCCCCATGTGCCTGGAATTAATTTCATAACCTTGTCGCCAATTGGTGGGAGCAGCTGCTCGATGGTTGAATCCAGTGACCGGAGTTGCGTTCACGGTCACGGCTCAGGTCAGTCACGAGCGACGTCTCATACTGACCTGGGGCCTCCCCGCGCCTCCCCTCCCCCTCGCCCTCCATGCCACCCGCCTTTCCCAACCCCGCAATCACTTAGAGTGAAGACTTCTTCCTCTAGCAACCGACCTCAAGTGTACGGATAAAAAAAAGCTAAACCCACTGTTATAAAAGAGGGCACACAGAGTGTAATAAATTTTCCGACGCTGTCGCAAGCCTCACCAGGACTTCCCTCCCGCGGAGCAGGACGTGCGCGCTGCCGACGATCAGGTGCACCCCCGAGATAAAGGACACCGCAGCCGTGCCCCGCCGCTTGTTCTCCATAACGACGCGGAAGAAAGGGTACTGCTCGCCGCCGCTGCCGGCACACGGTCTCGCCACGTCGTAGGCGCAGACGCCCTGGTAGTGGACGACGGCGCCGTCGAACGTGAAGTAGTGGGGGTCGTTGGTGACCGTGCAGCGTGCCGCGGCCGCCTGGAAGCAGCCGCGGGCGCCGGCGCGCACGGAGCAGGAGAGGCCGACGGGGCACGACGCCGGGGAGCAGCGCACGAGGCCGCCCGTCGAGCACTCGCACCGCTCCGAGCAGCCGTCGCTCCACACCGCCTCGCCCGCCTGGTGCACAAAACGTCAAGACAAACGATCGGTTGATAGTGATCCTGGAGCCCGGTCGGGTGGCGCGGGTGGCGCATGCCTCGCGACGAAACTTTGTGGCTGATGGTGAAACGCGCTTCACTTGATGACCCGGTTTCGTCGCAGGTGGCTGTCCAGATTTAAACCCAGGGTCTCCATTCACGCCAGGCTCAGGCCACTGAGCAGGTGCTGCTTCTCATTACCCGTTAACTTCCCGCCTCATGCCCGTGTTTTCAGTCGCAGGAATGTCGACCCGTATCAAGTTGGTAACTGCCCAAAAACTAAAAATGAATTGCCTGGTGTTTGAATTAAATTGTGAGGCACCTCCGTGTAAAGTGTGATCTCCAGCTCTCTCTGCCTGCTACCTCTATGCCCTGAATAAGGACCGTCAGACGAAATGTCAGCCTACTCTGTATGTTTCTGTTATAAGGCAATGTTCACGATGAACCTGCCGAGTGTGTTATTTCGCGCCTGTATCTAACACCACTGCCGCCGCACTCCCTTAACTGCCCGTTCATTTTTAACACAATGACCGGAGGAGCTTTTGCGGAAGTTGGCGTCCCTTCAGCAGGCCTCGTGCCTCTCTGCTGCAGATGGCCTCTTCCTCCGCTCTCCAACAATGCAACACTTTGGTAAATGAACACTCCTTGTGCGCGTCATTGACACTTTACGTGTGATCGTCTGAAACAAAGCTTAATCCCTGGGGTTTCAGTAACTGAAAACTATTTCAACTATTTTTATTTTATTTTACCAGGTAAGGCCCACTGAGCTGTACTGTACCTCTTTTTTCAGAAGCGATCCGGCCACAAATGTTAGCTCAACAAAGTGGCTTATCACGTGGACATTTATAGCAGCCAAATACTCCAAATGCATGTTGACTTTAAATGTGTAAGGAAAAACCAGAGGGTTTATCAAGGTAAATCCTTGTCACCCTAAATGTGATGTTTACTTTTCTTTATCTTTTCCCAGCTATCTCAGGGCACCAGGGTGTAAAGCACAATCTACAAACACGGTACATCCCTCTGCCTCCCTCTCTGTGCTCTCGATAAAGGCCACTGCCTGAACTATCGACCTTCTATACATGTGATGTAAGGCAGTGTTAATAAAGAACGTGGTGCGTTTTAATTTTTTTTTTACTTTGGCGATAATGTTCGACTTCCAAGAGGACGTCTGGTGAGGAGGCGATTTAGTAAGTTCGTGTGCAGGTGACGGGTGGATTCCTACATCGCAGGATCATGGAAAGTCGTGGCGGCAGCTATGGTAGGTCTTCATCACAGCAGTGCATTGGCCACGGCTGACGACGACGACGATATCGTTACGACGTGATGACAAATACCACCAACTACCGGAACCCCGACGCACCTGCAGATAGCGCCCGTTGTAGTCGCAGCCGCACTGGGCCACTGAGACGCACTCCGCGCCGCTCCAGACGTAGCCCCTGTCGCACTGGCAGCCCTCGCCGCAAGGCCTGTGGCACCCCACGGGCCCGGCCAGCTCCGCGCATGAGGATGGGCAGGCCGATCCGCACAGCTCGTAGTGGCTGTGCAGCGGGCAGCTGTGCTCTGTAGGGCAGAGAGAGAGAGACACGATCAATAATGAAAAAGGCACATTTCATCTGTAGATCCCAATGCACCGTGCATCGGAAGCGGGAAATGAAACGGAACTGTCACTACACCACAGTGGCGAGATGTTAACTACCTCGCCAGGTATACAGGAGGTTGTGGGTTCGATCATGTCTCCCCGTGGTCGTGTGGATTTTTCCCTGGGTCTTCCAGTTCTCCCTCCACATGCATTTTAAGTGTTTGGCTGCTATACATTTCCACAAGATAAGCCACTTGGTTGAGTTATTATTTGTGGCCAAATCGCTTCTGAAAGGAAGCTACAAAGCACAGTGGGCCATACCTGGTAAAATAAAACGTTGAGTTTTAGTTTTTACTGCGAGAAACTAAAGCTAGCTGGGCGGTAGTGGCACACGTTACCTCTTGGTGGATCGCACAAAAGTCGCGAAAATCGAGGTGCCATAACCCTGACTTGCCATGAGAAGGCGGTACAGCAAAATGCGGACTCCAGCTGTTTCATCCGTAAGGGATAGAGCGTTTCCCCCTCGCACACGTGAGTTTTCTCCAGGTGCTCCGTATGTATGTACATTGAACTTCTTTCTCACCGTACGTAGCCAACTGTGTAAACGCTCATCAATTGACCGATGACACCTCAATATATAGAAGACCGCTGAACTCGGGCTATTGTTGGCGCCGGCTCACCATGTGGTTGCCTTCCCACTTCTCTGTGGTTCCTCCTCGTGCCTCTGAGGTCAGCCTCTCTCAACGACAGCGAGCGCTAACTGTACGTTACGAGTTAAAATCATTACCATCATCATTGCGCGCCACTGCCGCCGACAGGGTGGCGGCGAGCGCGGCTCCACCGCTCGCTCACTCACGTCCGAGCGTGTCGTTGCGCCACTCCTCCACGGTCCCGCCGTCCGACTGGCACGCCCCGGTGTACGCCTCCAGCGCCCCCGCCAGCAGGTCCGCGCCGCCTCCCATCGCGCACAGGTCGAACACGCAGCTGTCGTAGTAGCTGTCGGGGCTGACGGTCGCGTGGCAGCCGGCGAAGGGCCCGTCGGGTGAGGTCAGGATCCCGCAGTAGCCGTCGCTACCGTACAGCGCCCGCTGCTCGGGGTCGCACACCGGCAGCGCGTCGCTGCCGTCGTGGCACACGGAGCCGTCGTTCACCCTCCAGCTGATGCCGAACTGCACGGGGTCGGCGACGGGCCGCCCCTCCGGGGAGAGGAACTCGTCCGTGGCGTTGAGGTTGTAGTTTCCGCAGAGTCCGCAGAGCTTGCTCTGGAAGGTGGAGGCCACCTCTACGGTCACGTGGTAGCGGTGGTTGTAGGAGACCTGCAGCCCGAAGTCGGTGCTCACGACGGTACTGCTGCCGCTCCTGTAGACGCTGAGTCTCCCGTTGTCGTGGCTCACCGGGAGGTTCCGGTTGAGCCCGTTCAGCTTTAGTGGGGGAAAAAACAGGTGTGGAGATACGGTGATTTTTTCACACTGCCCACCGTGCATGCTGTCCCATTACCAGCCACGGTGGCGAGATGTTAACTACCTCGCCTGGTCTTGCAGGAGGTTGATTACGACCCCGATGCCTAAATATTTGGAGTTTACATGTTCTCCCTGTGGTCACGTGGATTTTTCTCTGGGTCCTCCAGTTTTTCCATCCACATTGAGAAATATGCGCTTAAGAGTAATTGGCCGCTATAAATTTCCACATGATAAGCCACTTCATTGAGCTATCATTTGTGGCCAGGTCACTTCTGAAAAAGAGCTATATAGCTCAGTGGGTCTTACCTGGTAAAAAAAAAAAATCATTGGCAACAGGTTATTTTTGGGGATTTGTATAGTTTATAAGTATGACCGCATCTCAAAATGCTGCACAGATTTTCCCAAGATAGCTACCTCAAAAAGAGAGGACAATCCTTGGAAAAAAGCCAGGACAACCGGCAACCCTAAAAAGAGCAGGCAAGTCAACGACATAGGCGACTCGGGGGAAGGCATTTTCACGCTTGAGTGGCCCTGAAAGGGAGGCGCAGCTCACCTGGACGTTGGCGCCATCGCCGGCGAAGATGTCCACCTGCTGTCCGTAGACGGCGACCGTCACCTGGCGTGGAACGGACACGGCCGAGGAGCCCAGGTTCCCGTTGCGAGCGCGGACCTCGAACTGTGGCAGCTCGCGGGAGCAGTTGCGCGCCAGCGTGTAGGTGCACGCGCCCTGGAAGTCGAAGGCGAGGCCGTCGAACGTGACGTAATGCGGGTCGCTCCAGGCCCTGCAGGAGGCCCTGCCGGCGGGGTGGCAACCCCGCGCGCCGGCGAGCACGCCGCAGCTCTCGCCAACGCCGCACCCGCCCGTGGCCTCGCACGCCACGGAGCCGTCGCGCCGGCACTCGCAGCGCTCCCGGCACAGCTCGTCGGGCCAGAAGGCCTCGCCGCTCGCGTAGTTCTGACCGCCGTGGAAGCAGCCGCACTCGGCCAGGGACACGCAGCGGCCGGAGCGCCAGACGGTGCCTGGGTTGCAGCGGCAGCCTTCGGCGCAAGGCCCGCGCGAGCAGATGGTCGGCTGCGCCAGGTCGCTGCAGCTCCTCTGGCAGGTGTTGCCGCACAGCTCGTAGTGGCTGTTGGACTGGCAGCTCATTGCTGTTTGATGGGAGAGCCGGCGGGCAGCAAGAGCGGGAACGCGGAGGTGAGGAATGCATTGGAGGTACGGGAGGGGGAGCAGGACGGGAGAGGAGAAGAGGCACGGGGAGGAGGAAAGCTTCAATTTATGTTTTTTACGACCTGGTATTTTGATACCATTGACATGAAGCGCTCAAAAAATTATTGACATTTCAATCGCTGGTGAAACTAAAAATATATCATGACTCCAATAGCTTCTTCATCCTCATCTTTGTGTTTATATTTCCTACACTTTCTCTTGAGTTGCATTCGATCATATGAGCAACTTCTATTTTTTATTCATTACCAAGGAGCTGAAAAATATAATTTACCACGATGTTCTAACAAACAACAACAACACACGTGTGCACGGGGCCCCTTGTCACTCACGGCAAAAGCTGTCGTTCCTCCAGGCGTCGACGGTGCCATTGGCCGCCTGACACACGACCACGTAGGCCTCCAGGGCCTGGCAGAGGATGTCGCGCCGGCCCCCATAGAGGCACACGTCGCTCACGCAGCTGTCAAAGTACGTGCCGGGGTTCGCCGCAGCGTGGCAGCCTCGCAGGGGCCCTGTGGGGTCTGCAATGACGCCGCAGAAGGCCCCACTGCCGTAGCGATCTCGGTCGGCCGCGAGGCACACCGGCAGTGGTGGGGGCGGGGGGGCGCCCCCCCCTCCCAGGCAGCCCTGGTCCTCGGCCACGGCCTCCGCCCGCCAGCTCCCGGCGAACTCGTTCGCGGAGGTCACGGTGGTGCCATCCGGCAGGGCAAAGTCGTCCGAGGGGTCGCCGTTGTAGTTGCCGCACAGGCCGCACGTGAGGCCGCTGAGGCTGCTGGGAACGGTGATGGAGGCCTGGTTGTGCCAGTTGTAGGTGAGCTTCAGACCGAAGTCTGTCACGATCTCGGCAAGCCCTCCCTGGGCTACAGCCCAGATTTGTTTGGACGGGAGCGCCCAGTTTAGACTCATCACGGTGCCATTTACCTGAAACATAAAATAAAAGCGTTGTCATTTGGATAATTTGTATTATTAGGCACGTATCGATGCATTGTTTAAATGCTTAAAGTCGATTCTTTTGGTCCTATAAACTATTTTATATTTCAACAGGTAAGGCCCACTGAGCTATATAGCTCTTTTTTAGAAGCGAACTGGCACACAAATGATAGCTCAACCAAGTGGCTTGTGTGGAAATGTATAGCAGCTAAATATTCTAAACGCACGTTTCTAAATGTAGAGGGAAAAAACGGAGAAAAATCCACACGACCATGGGGAGAACATACAAACTCCAAATATTCAGGCTGCAGGGTTGGGATCGAACCCACAACTTCCTGTATACCAGGCAAAGCAGTAAACATCTCGTTACCGTGGCACCCTGCAGCGGAGGGACTCACCAGGATTTGGTGGACGTGTTCCCTGGTGATGGTGATGGTGTAACCGTAGACGCTGAGTGACACGGAGTAGGGCCACGAGATGGAGCCGCCCCTTTGGTCGTTCTTGCCGAGCACCTCGAACGGGGGTGCAACCTTCCCGTGGTCGCCGCACGCGCGCGCCACCACGTACGTGCACGTGCCATGGTAGTCAAAGCTCCGCCCGTCGAAGGTCACGTAGTGCGGGTCCGTGTAGAAGCGGCATGTGGCCGAGCCAGTCGGGTGGCAGCCGACCACGCCGTTCTCGACGCCGCACCGCTCGTAAGCGCCGCAATTGGCCGCCTGGCAGCTCAACTCTCCGCCCGCTGCGCACGAGCAGCGTCTCCGGCACGTGTCGTCCGCCCAGAAGGACTCGCCGGGCAGCAAGTAGCGCCCACTGGCGGGGTCGACGCAGCCGCAGCGGCTCCGCGGGACGCAGGCGCCGCCGCTGAGGACGTGGCCGTCGTCGCAGACGCAGCCCTCGGAGCAGAGGCCCCCGCCGCACTGGGGGGCGGCAGGTCCCTGCGGGGTGGAGCAGTCGGGCTGGCAGGGGCTCGAGCACGCGTTGTAGTGGCTGTGCGCCAGGCACGTTAGGGCTGCGGAGGGGACAACACGGGGACGGTGTTAATGTTCATCGATCGCTCCCGCCCCGTCGTTATTAGGTTGTCGAGGTGCCGGTTCAGTAAGCTTGTACTTAGGGTTCATGAGAAATAATGACGGTTCCTTGCGCTCGGTGTAGGCGTTTGAAGTTGCGCTGCTTATCTCTTCGATGTGTTTTCTGGTTGCACCAGCGTGTTGTCGCTCCATGTGCTAGGAGCTTCAGTTCCTGAAGCATTGATTAAAGCAATACTGGAGGAATAGATGTATTTTAATTTCCGTGGTTCACGAGTCGTACCTCGTACCTAGTTATAATGTGAAGGTATATCCCCCCACATAAAGATTACAGTTCGTAACTTACCCACACGTTACCCCGAACTCAACTGAACCAACCAAATCACTTTCTACCCCAGGGCATTGCAAATTTGCGAGACATCAGAGCAAAGGTCAAACTCGTCAAAGGCATCTGTTAACGATGAAACCACTTAACAAACCCAAGCGTAATCGTAGACTCTCTCTGTCACCTCAACTTGTGAAGATGTCCACGGAGAGTAGCGCGTGATGAAATCCTGCGCGACAAATCACTCAAACTCGCAGCCCCGACTAAAAAAAAAAAAGGCCTTAAAGCAGCTGCTAAAACACCCACATCAAATCTATCAACCAGAAACATGTATTTAGGTAGTTTTCCACATGATAAGCCACTTCATTGAGCTATCATTTGTGGCCAGGTCGTTCATGAAAAAGAAGCTAATCGCTAAGTGGGCTTTATCTAGTAAGATAAAAACAATTGTTTACTGTTTTTGTATTGTTTGTAGTTGTAACGTTCTGACCCCGTGACCCTCCTGGATATCTGGGAAAAAGAGCTTTACAGCTCATCGGAATTCCTCCTCCAGTGTAAATAAACTTTCCGATTTTGATTATCCGAGTTGAACGGCGGCTCCACTTACGACAAAAGGTGCTGTTCCGCCAGCCGCTCACGCCAACGCCGGCCGCCTGGCAGGCTGCGGCATACGCCGAGAGCGCGTCGCACAGCGCCGTGATGCGGCCGCCCAGCGCGCACACGTCCGTCACGCAGCTCCCGAAGTGCGGCTCGGGACGCACGACGCGATGGCACTCTCGGAAGGGCCCCTCGGGCTCCACGAGGAGGCCGCAGAAGGCGCCGCTCGCGTACTGGGGCCGCTCGGCGTCGGGGCAGGGCTCAGAAGGTGGCTCCGTCGCCTGGCAGTCTCCGTCGCCCCTCACCGTCCACGCCTGCCCGAAGTGATTCTGCGACGCAGCCAGGCTCCCGTCGGGCAGAAGGAAATCATCGGTCGCGTTGCCGTTGTAGTTGCCGCAGAGGCCGCATGTCAGGCCCCGGTAGTCCCGTGGAAGCCACACGGTGGCGACGTGATACCCGTCGTACTGAACGCGGAGGCCAAAGTTCGTCTCCACGAGCGTGGAGCTGCCGGTCTGGACCGTGAGGTTCCCGGGGATGATCGTTATGGGCAAGTTGACCAGGACACCGTCGACCTAAAGTACACGGCACATGTGAGCCCTAGAGTACACGGCGCGTGTGAGTCTCTCTCCGCTACAGCCGGGAACACTCGGAGCCAAATAAAGTAAATTGTCAGTCAATAAAATTGTGTTCTTTGCGGAAATCACGTCGGAAATGTAAGATGTATCATGATTATTATTAACAACTGGAAGATACACATTCCATCAAATTGAATGTTTACTTTAGAACAGTCGCTAGTATTTCCAGTGTAATTTGAAGCTGTAAATGAAAATCAAGGATCTTGACCTATGCGGAACAAACATTGTGACAGAAAAACTTGGGCAAATCACAATAACTATAAAGATACAAAAGCCGGCATGAGCACAATGAGCCTTACCCTGACTCGAGGGTAGTCAGCCCTGCCGATGATGATGGAATGGCCGTAGACGTCCACCTTCACCAGGTTCGTGTACGAAACGACGAGCGAGCCACGGTCGTCGTTCTCCACCTCGACGTTGAACGGCACCGCGCCGCCACCTCCGGCGCACGTCTTGGCCAGGGTGTAGCGGCAGGTGCCCATGAAGTCGAAGGCGGCGCCGTCGAACGTGTAGTAGTGCGGATCGCCCGCCGCTTGGCAGAACGCGGGGGGGCCGTCCTGGGGCATGCACGCCACCTCTCCCGCTTGCACGCCGCACACCATCGACGGGCCGCAGCTCGCCGGCTCGCAGCCGACGGCGCCGCCAGCGAGGCACGTGCACCGGCGCGAGCACGTGGCGTCCTCCCAGAAGGCCTCGCCGAGCGCGTGGTACGAGCCCCCGTGGCCGCAGCCGCAGGCGGAGGGCGGCACGCAGCGGCCGCCGCTCAGCACGTGGCCCTCGTCGCACTGGCAGCCCTCGTGGCAGGGAAGGCCGCAGCGGGACCGCTGCCCTTGGCTGACGCAGCTCTCCGGGCAGCTGCTGGTGCACACCTCATAGTGGCTGTTTGCTCCGCATTGTTTTGCTGGAAATGTAGGAGGGGGGCGGGGGGGGGGACATGGCGTTCGCTTGAAAGGTCGGTGCGGGGAAAATACAATCGTGGCGACAGTCATTGGCTGCTTTGCTCTGAACGGAACAGACAAAAAGGTGTTTTACGAGATAAGGCACAATTGTAAAATTGTGAAATTGTGACCGTGGCAATGGTCCTCCCATCGTGCCTTGCCTTGTGACACTGCACCGCATATATACAATTTATATAAAAACTGACTTCATCGTTTGAACCTGTTAGAAAATCAAAAACAAATAAATGAAAACTAATTTAATACAGGTTTTTTTGGGTTAGAACGTGTAAATAAAAAACGTGTCATTAAAACCCACCACCACCCAACACAGCCAACTAGTAAGGGTTGTCACGTAAACAGAACATGCCAATTCGTGACTAGTACAGCACACTGGTGTGTTGGTGAGCCAAGCCACAACATTTACAATCTGAGCATGACGTTTCGCCAATAATTACAACTAGCTTCATCAGGCGACAGCCAGATTTGTCACATGACGGCACTTTTGGCAGAAAAAGTGCGGACGTGACTTCACAAGAAGTGAATATTCAGATAAATCTGAAGGAATGTTTCTTTTCGTATTGTCCGAAATTTCACGTCTAACCCAGATTCTAAACTTATTTCGGACGAATACAAAAAATCGGGAATGCGTCTCCAGTTTCTTCTTACGGCAAAAAGTGCTGTTCCTCCATGCCGCCACAGTGCCCGCGGCGGCCTGGCAGGCCTCCACGTAGCCCTCGAGCGCTCGGCACAGCACCTGCGCGCTACCCTGCGTGACGCCCACGTCCAGAACGCAATCCTTGAAGTACTCCGTGACGTTCACGAGGCTGTGGCATGCCGCGAAAGGCCCATCCGCTCGCAGGAGGACGCCGCAGTGGCCGTCGCTGCCATACTGGGGCTCGCTGCTGCCGTCGTTATCCCCACCGGCCGAGCACGGTTCTGCGACGTCGTCCCTGCAGGCCACTTCTCCCCCAGCGACCCTCCACGCCTTGGCGAACTCGACGACGCCGCCTGCGACCCCGCCGCCGGGCAGGCGGAGGTCGTCGCGCGGGTCGCCGTTATAGTCGCCGCAGAGGCCGCACGTGAGCCCCGCGTACTCCTGGGGGACGCGCACCCGCGCCACGTGGCTGCCGTCGAAGGCGACTTCGAGGCCGAATTCGGTGAGCAGCAGAGTGCCGCTCGCGCTCTGGAACACCTGCAGCCTGCCGGCCGCCAGCGAAATCGGGAGGTCCATGTACAAGCCGTTCACCTGGGAGAAAACGGCAGAGGAATTAACTTGTGAACGCAATGCCAAAAACGACACCCTTCTATCAGTTCACTGCTCTCCCTTGCGGAAAGGTCTCCAGCGACAGCTTCGATATGTAAATTAGGTGAAGGTTAATGCGCAGCAGCACTGGAACTGCTTGCTCACGTCACTGCAGGGGGAAAGGCCTCCACTACAGGGAGCTCTAGAGATCCCCTCTCTGGGGTATTTTGGCCGACTCTTCCATGCTGGCGAGACATCTCGCGAGAGGTGGGAAAACCCACACTTTATCTTTCTTCTATATATATAAAAGTAAAAAATTGTTTGTGTGTGGGTTTGTGTGTGTGTTTGTGGCTTTGTGTGTGTTCGCGCGCTTGCGAAGGATTTGGCTCTCCAACGGTGGGGTTTACGTAAAATAAAAAGAGCCGGGTACCACACCACAAGCCCCGCCGTGAGCAAGCGCAATTCCTTTTTCACATCCGTCAACTTTTAATTAGTTTAATTAGCGATTTAGTGCAATTTTTGTGTGCTTTCTATTTATTTATTCATGACGCGTGCACGACCATACCGACTCATGCGCCTTTGGTGGGGGGGACGGCCCATGCCAAGTCGCACGTCTTCGGTGGGAGTGAGGGGGATATTTTCTTTCGCGTAAAAAATGCAAGAAAATACACTAAATGCTGAGGTACATTTTTCACTGTGTGATGTCCCCCCCACCCGATGCATCCAGTTACTACTATACAGTCGGTAGATGTTACCACTATAGGCCGTAGATATTACTGCAGAGTGGCCGGGGAGATCATGGCTGGGGGTGGGGGAGGGGGGTCAGGGGTAGCAGCCCAGCCCCAGCCTGCCAAGGTGCCACCTCGGCCGGCTGGACAATCTAGGCGAGGCCGGAGGCTCTGCATGGGACTAGGCCTCACCACGCCACTCTGTCAGGTGAGTACTTTGTGCTATAGAGTCCATAAATATTGCTATAGAGTCCATAAATATTGCTATAGAGTCAGTATGTACTACTGTAGTGATAGCAGGTACCACCACAGTCAGTATGCACTGCTGTAATCATAGCAGGTACCACCACAGTCAGTATGCACTGCTGTAATCATAGCAGGTACCACCACAGTCGGTATGCACTGCTGTAATCATAGCAGGTACCACCACAGTATGCATTGCTGCAGTGAAAGCAGGTACCACCACAGTATGCACTGCTGTAATCATAGCAGGTACCACCACAGTCAGTATGCACTGCTGTTAGATTTTTAAGAGTAGTTTTGAAATATTTTTTGACCCAGGCAACGCCGGGTACTTCCTGCTAGTCCCCTATATATAAAACACTTTAATGACAACGAAAGCTCTAGCAATGTCCTCAACCGTGCAAAGGCTTTACGTTACCAGCGCTTTGTGTGTGAACGTCTTCAGTAGCTTGACCTCCTGGCCGTAGGCCCTGACCGTGACCTCCTTAGTCCAGGAGACGCACAGCCTCTCCCTGTTCTCGTTCTCCACCTCCACGGCGAACTGCTCGAGGCTGCCGGCGGTGGCGCCGCACGAGCTCGCCAGTGCGTAGCGGCAGGTGCCCATGAAGTCGAAGGCGAGGCCGTCAAACGAGCGGTAGTGGGGGTCCCCGTAGGCGGAGCACTCGGCGCCGACACGCCCCGCCGCGCACCCGAGCGTGCCGTTCAGCAGCTGGCACCGCTCGCCACCCTCGCACCCCGGCTCGACGCAGCTGACGCGGCCGCCCGCGTCGCAGCGGCAGCGTGCAGTGCAGCTGTCCGATAGCCACGTGTCGCCCGAGTGGTGGTAGCGCCCGTCGTGCATGCAACCGCAGCCAGTGCCGGCGGGCACGCACATGCCGCCACTGAGCAGGAGGCCCGCGCTGCACTGGCAGCTCTCGGTGCACGGGCGCGTGCAGAAGTTGGGCGCCGTGCTATCCCCGCAGGTGGCCGGGCACGCGGTGCCGCACAGCTCGTAGGCGGTGTTGGCGCCGCACGTCATGGCTGTGGGAGGGAGAGAGAGCGTGTGGGAACCAATGGCACACGCGCAGGCGGAGGTGGGGTGTAGTGTTACTATTTAACCTTTTCTCATTCAGTTTTTCTTCCGATTCTGTTCTTATCTGTGCGATTCCATACCAATGACGTACACTTATTGAAGAAAAACTAAAACAAAATTAGTTAATCACTACCGAGACTCCCACGAGGCCATGCGGGAGGGCGTGTGGCACAATTTGGCACCCGCTATCATAGAGTGCGGTCGTGTCGCTACAGTTCTCCGCGATAAGTACAATGTCTTTAAAAACAGCGGCGCTATGCTGCTAATAAAATTAACGCGTGTTCTGAGATTTAGCAGTGAACAGGACCCATCCTGCAACTTTCAGATGTCTCAGAACTGGAAAGGGTGAAGCGCAGTGCTTGAACACCGTCGATCAGGGTGCAGGACAACATATTAACTTTCTCTGCAGATGATAGAATTGTAGAGTTCGTTTTCCTTCTTTCTGCCAAGGAAATTTCATTTTGTGGACAGTGTCTGATGCATAGGATATCGTGGCACTCCTTATGAAAATGGTTAGCTCGTCTTGAAATACCTTTTATTGGCTTCATGAGTTTTACTTGTTTTAAAAGATTTAGATTTTTTTCCATTTATCCAGGAAAGTCTTGCCGAGTCTCCAAGACTTCAGCAGTTTTGAATGTGTGGCCATTTCCACTAATACGTGTTTGACATATGCCAAGAAACCAAAGGTACCCAGAGAAAACCCATACATAAGAGGGGGTTAAAAAGTTCTGCAGAGAGAGAGATTCAATAATCCATTGCTGTATTGCCAAGTCTTGGCCTCCTTGCAACCAAACCCCTGGTATTTACTGACAACCTTCCATCCAAGCCGTGACCAGGAATTAACTCTGCTTAGCTTCCGAGATCCGATGGGATTGGATGCATTCATAGTGCGATTTTCTCAAATCAACGTCACAATTAAATTTGCACACACCACACACATGCACACGCACACATACCTGACAATTCGTAATGACGATGAATAACGCTGCGGTCAGGTGCTAAGATTGGAGTTAGCGCAATTCACCATGGGGAGCTAAAACCCATGCAGTTTCCTACACTACTCACGGCAATTCATTTGTTGTCGCCACGCTTGAATGGTTGCCCGGTGAGCCTGGCAGGCGCTGGCGAACGCGCTCAGAGATTGGCAGAGGACGTCCCTGTCGCCTCCCGTGGCGCACATGTCGAACACGCAGCTCTCTAGGAAGTTGAATGCCGACAGGATGGTGCCGCACACGGCGAACGGCCCGTTGGGATTGCTGATGACCCCACAGAAGCTGTCACCCTGGTAGGTGCTGAGCATGGCCTCGGTGCAGGCTGGCGGAGGCAAAATGACCTGGTCGCAGCCCGCCTCCTGCACCCAGCTGTTGCCGAACTCCGTCACGGACGTCGTCACGGTGCCGTTGGGCATCGTGAACTCGTCCCGCTCGTTGTCGTTGTAGTTGCCGCAGACTCCGCACAGGCGGCCCTTGAAGGCGCCGGGAACGGTGACGGTGGCGTAGTGGTCGGCGTCGTATGTCACGGTGAGGCCAAAGTCGGTGGAGATTGCCACGGAGGAGCCGCTTTGGGAAGCCCTGATGCGCCCGTTGAGCAGCGTGAAGGGCAGCGAGGTCAGCTCTTCGTTGACCTGTACGAGACCGCAAAACGATCGCCAATGGGACAAGTCCTCTCGGAGAAATGCAATATTTCGAAACTTGATGCAGAGCTTCGGGGCCATTTACCTGGATCATTTTGCTCCACTGATTAGTTATTACACTTGCATCTGCTGATCGCATTATCCGTGCTTACACATTTTACTCTTCTGATCTGTGCGAATAGGCGCAGATGATTTAACTTATTGAAGCTGATGGATTAATTTAATTGTTGAATTTACCGTCACCTTTGGTTTACTTTTCTTACCGATGGTTTGTTGTGGAGGAATTTATCACCCCTTTTTTCCCACGAGGAGCAATGTAGCAATTCTCACACCACCAGCAATCCAATAAATAAATTGTCTTGTCTCAGGATCGACATTCAATTCCAGAATCAATTGTTCTTCTCTCATTTGTACCAAAGTTGCACTTCTGATTAGCATTGTTGGCTAGGTATGGTGTGAAAAAAGTTAAATATACATACAAACTAGTTTTCATTATTCCTCATTGTTTTCTGTACTTTAATACGACAGGTTTGTGTGCATCATTATCCTAAATGTGACAGTAGAATCACATCCCTAACAGGTACCTTTGGCGGTATGTTTATGGCTGGCTGCTTACCAGTCGCCAACCCAAAAACGGCAGCCCAAGAAAGAAGTGGTTCTAAGCGGTGAAATAGGATATGAAGGATCGTTGAGTGTATGTGGAGAAGCTGGCCCAGGACAGAAATGAGTGGAAAAAGGACCAGTTTTAGGGTTAGGCAGACCCCTATACGAGCAGGAAAATGCCAGGAAGAAGAAGATTCCAAGGAGCACCTTCTGCAAAAAGTCTCGAGACTTCTCAAGTCAAATAACAGCCCATCCAATCGTTTGACGGAGACTTACGAGGACTCTGCTACGATCTCCCTTGTTGATGATCAGAGTGAAGCCGTACACCTCGAGCTGCACCAGCTTGGTCCAGGACACCGTGCTGCTGCCGCGGTGCTCGCTCTTGGCGATCACGTGGAACGAAGACAACTCCGTCGACCTTTCTGTCGTGGCGTCTTCTGCGGCGTTCGTCGTGCCCACGTTTCCCGTGGTTCCCGTGGAGGGGGCCGCGGCGGCGGCGGTGGTGGCGAGGCCCTCACGGATGCCCCTCGGGCACGTGCGTGCCAGCGTGTAGGCGCACGTGCCCTGGAAGTGGTGGACGACACGATCGAAGGTGTTGTAGTGCGGGTCGCCGGACACGGTGCAGATTCGCGTCTCCTGCGGCGCGCATTGATGGAGGCCGTCCTGCAGGACGCAGTGCTCCGAATCGGAGCACGGCCTGGGACTGCACTCCAAGCCGTTGGCTGTCTCGCCACCCACGCACTTGCATCTTGTGGTGCAGCTGCCGTCGGTCCAGTAAACGTCGCCGTACTTGAGCATTTTCCCTGCCGTTCGCGGTAAAGACGGCAGCCCGGTGTGAGGTGTAAGGGCGACGCTCGTTGCCAGTGGCGTGCGCAGGGTCAGATTAAGGTTATGAGCGGCATAAGGGAAGGGCCTAGGGATGTTATTACACATTGCAGGTAACAATTCTGAAGTCATCAAACATATTTATTTACCGATGTTTAATTAACTAATGTATGCGACTCAATGTCAATGTAACATAAAGGACTCACTGCACTCGTTTCTAAAAAAGCAAATCATTCCAAGCTTTAGCTGTGGCTAAGTCACGAATGATATCACTATAATTCAAAGATTTAAAAAAAAATCTTCGATGGCCCCGCTACTGTCTGTCAGCTGTTACTTGAATGTGGAACGGAGAGTTTACACAATATGAGGGCCTAAAGCCTTGTTAGCCCTATGGGTTAATCCGGCCCTGGGCACACACTCTCTATCCTCCACCATAATGCGCTTGTACACATCCAGGTAAACAAAAAGCCCATGGTTAATCCGTTGCTGAATGGGGGGCCTCCTCATGCCGTGCGGGTCGTAGGGGTTATTTGAACATACTTCATCACACCGGTCAGTGCGGGTTGGTGTAGTTCGGGGAGCGTGCACAAGTAGAGGCTAATAAGAAATTTGTGAGTGTCAATACTTAATTGTTGATGGGTCATGTGACTAGTCTAAACCCTGTTTTCTATTTGGTTAATGTGGATCATAGTGTGTTCTGTTTTTAAATGTCAGACTTCAAGACATTTAAATCCCCAATTGGAAATACCTGACAAACGCAGCAGTGTACAGCAAGTGGAGGAAAGTGTTGTGCAATGTTATGCACTGCAGTGTTTTAATAATCGCATATGATTTATATTATCATTCAACAAATATGTAGTTACTTTTTAAGGAAACTGAATTATTTTGGGTCTTTCCCCCAGCAATGTATTCATAGTCGTGCGATCAGCATCACGTCATGAGAGAGGCATCCATTCAGAAATCTTACAGAGCATTGTACCCCGGCGTCTCAGAGAATGGCTGCAGAAGATAATTTACCCCACGAGACTTCAAGTGACCTTTGCATCCTTTACACAGCAGGGGTCACACTTTCCCACAGTCTGCTAAGAGATTGTCTAATTTCATGTGCAAACTAATATTTGTAATTCAGTGTATTGGGCTTACTCTCTAATATGCCAATTTGTTGCTAGTACAGCAAACCGTGTTGGGTTTACTCACCAACACACCGGTGTGCTGTACTAGTAACGAATTGGTATGTTTTGTTTACGTGATGGTATCGGGTTTAATGACACACTAATATTCATGCAATCTAACCGAAACCCTCCATTATGAATAATATTGTTTGTGAAAGCCGACATGTTATATTGAGTAACCCGGTTTAATCACAGCTGGCCGAGAACCAGATTCGAAGCCAGGATCTCACAGTGGTGTTAAATCTGACCCACCCGGCTGCCTCTAAACTGTGAAATCAGTGTGTTTTGTCAGGCACAGTACTGACGCAATACAAGATATACATTAATTATTGCAGCACCACCATTACACACATGTGCAAAAGATGAGGAAGATGTGGTTTGACTGAGGTGTGGTCAACCAATGTGGTAGTTTTTTTTACCAATATGACGTGCGGAGCCTTACCGTTGGCGTAACAGCCGCCGGCAACACTAAAGGCGTCAGTTCTGAAAATCCACCTGCCCGGATAGTTGACATTGCTGGTCATTTCTACATTAATTATGTCCGCGGTTCTTGATCCTGGGATGTTGAAATAGTGCGTCGATCCGCCACTGTTAAACCCAGCCTGAAATCACAAAGCAACATAGTGGTTGAGCTGCAACTTTGGTGGCTATGCAACGCATTGCAAAATGTGTGCGCACGAGCCCTCCACCACCAAACACAGCTAATTCATAAAAGTTGTCACGTGAACGAAACGTGCCAATGTATCACTGCTGCAGCACACGGGTGCGTTAGAGAGCATCGTCACGCTGCTGATGATTAATTGAGAGGTAGAATTATGTTTGGATCATTGTCATCACATTATTATGAATAGGATCAAACCTTCGTATTAGAATAGAATAGAATATATGTGTGTATTTTGAAAGTTATTTTGAACTTCTTCCGCACCATACATAGCCAGCCGCGCTAATGGGAGGTGCAGGGGAATGGAAAAGTCTGTCTTCACCCTTAGTATAACTTTTCGATCAATCGATCGAAAAACTTTAGTCCATTGTTCCGCTTGCAAATTGAGAATCAAAAGTAGTGCCAGGAAGAGCCCTCCTGTGTCCAAGGCCTCGGTCAAAAGATGGCACCAAAGGCAACACTGAAGCTGATAATCTCACAGGTGCAATGTAATGATGGAAACTATTATGTGTTTTAAGTATTTTGTTAATAACCTTCTCCACAGCGATGCTAATGGATGCTTTTGTACACATACATTTCAGTATATGTTTTGCAACGAACTAGAAACCATTTATGAGAGGGTCCTTGCCTATAAACATCGGGCCGTTCGCCAATTTTGGTTCAAGTGACCTCATGAGAAGATGAATGTCGAAATGGGTCTATAGTTTGCTTGTATTAATTCAATGCCGCTGGCAAGATGTGATTCTCAGGCGACGGATGGGTTGTACAAATGTACTTTTATTGTTTGTGTGTAAAGTCAAATATGGGACGGAAGTGTTATTTATATTTTGGCTTTTATTGATCTCACCTGTCTCTCCCTGACCTGGCTTGTGCCGCTGTCACAGAGACTATATATATAAACTAACCCACGCTAAAGCACATGATATTACATGGACAATTATTTATTTTTGATAGAGCGCCTGTTACACTGGGCATCTAAAAGCGCTTCATACACAATTAGTGACTTACATCATATCTCATCTCAACACATTTAAAAGGGCACCCCCAGTAGCAGCTGTCCCTAGGCGGCACAAGGTGACTTCAGCACCTGGACTGCGAACAGACATTAGTCTGCCAGTAGGGGGGCATCAATCATTGCTATATGTACAGTATCCCAACTTCGTAAAACTTTGACTATTTGTTATTGTTGTTTCTGGCTTCGGACAGCCCCTAGCGGTCAAGTGAGCTGGGACATCACACCTGAGCGGGAGTTCCTCCAACACCATTGACTCCATTGCTCGCCGTTCCTGTAGTCCAGCTCACGTCTCCGTAGTTGAACATTGCAAACGATGACGTCCCATTGGTGATAAGCAAAGCCTGGAAGGTGTTCTCCTGCAAGCATTAAGCGACACATAAAAACATTAAGAGGAAATAGCCAGTTTGGCACTCAGCCCAATTTGGTCACTAAAAGCAACGTTACATTTTAATGAATGAATTATGTACTCCTGGTCAACTTGCCAAAACAATATTTTAAACATTGGATGTGGATGAGCTGTGATGTATGGGCGGCTTTGGCCCCAGAACAAGTGTCCAGCCAGTCGCCTGCACGTTCAAAGCAACCCCATGGACTACATCGGCGTAAAGAGGGCCTTATCCAGTAGTAGATTGACAAAGCACAGTAAATTATTAAACATGGTGATTAAAATATTTTTTTGCCAAAATCCTCATGCTCTGATACTGCACTTACTTTCAAAACTGTGAATGGCTAACTTAGAAATCAGTTTCCTCCAATGTAAAAAAACACGGCACCGTGGGTGTTCGTTCTTTCAAAACCGAACAAAAAACGCTTACCGATGTGACGGCGCTTCCTCCGTAGTAGGTCACACGGTCCCACGTGGCGATGAAAACCCACGTGGCCGCAAAGTCTTGGAAGTCGGCGAAGTAGGCGCGCACGTCCTCGGTCGCCTTCTGCAAGAGGTCAGCGTCCGTCGTCTCTCGGTAGAGGACCTGCCCCTTGTGGCGGTTGTCGACGTCGGCCCAGAAGGGGGAAATGAACGCTCGCCCGTCGCTCAGCGGAAACGCCTGCGAGGTGAACTCTGCCACGGCCACCTCGAACGAGATCACGCCGTTGTTGTTCACCTGCGGGGGGTTTGCAAAGAAGACGCACGCGTGCGGTGCGTTACTCATTGGAGGTTGCGGTGTCGGAGGCTCAGCGGCGGTGGAGCAAGCGGGCTCGCATTTGGAAAGCGTTGCGAGTTCAAATCCTGGTTGGGGGTTAGCGTTGCGTCCTTTTCCACAGACCTCACATGGGCATATTTCTCAGTCAGCCAAGATCGATCAAACCATGTAGTATGTATGTTGAACTTTTTTTGCACCGTACGTAGTCCCCCATGCTAATCGGAGGTGCGGGGGAAGGACAACAAACTAAACATAAAAAGCAGTATACTGTAATGAGGTTCAACACAATCGTAGTACCAGATTTCGTTACAAATATCCAAGTCAAACTCAGACAAGAAGTAATCCTGTCGAGGTTGACGAAGCCCATCACCCCTCCAGGGTCATTAAAATGAGTACCACTTTGTAGGGAAGTCAACCGTGTGTTACCAAATGGAGAGACTCGCCCCCACGAGAGGAATGGTGAATTTCCACGACTGGTTCAGGGCTGTCAACTGGAGATGCATTCCGCGTCAATGCTCATTTGAGCAGAAAATCACTTTGACTTGACTTGAAGGATGGCTGAGGTTCATCGGGGAGATAGTCCATCAGCACTGGGATCAGTGCCGGATTAAGCTAGTGCGGGGCCTGTAGCATATGATGTTATAAAGGGGCCCTAAATAAATAAATAACAATATCAAATCACAATTTTTGACTTGCATAGTAAGGTAATTGTTTTTTTTTATTTGCTATACAACGAGATAATACGACAAATCTCTAACCTTAAACACTCAGTCGCACATAAAAGTTGAAGGCAGTATAGTACTATAGTGATAGAGCAAGTGCAGAATCACTTAACCGGAATTGATAGCTTGAAAGCATTTAGCGCAGGGGCCCTTGAAAATGCGGGGCCCGTAGCATGTGCTACTTTTGCGACTAGGATAATCCGGCACTGACTGGGATCCTGAGTTTGAATCTGGGTTTTTTGCCACCCATCACTAAGCTGGGTTCTCAGATGTTGTCACTTGTTTTTGTCGCAGTCTGCACAAGAAAACAATCACATTAAGTTAGTTTTTTTTTTAACTTCACTTGATAATTCGTGAGAATTGGTGTTGCTGTCACTCCACGGGCATCTCTGTAGCAAGGCATGCGGGAAAGTGCTGCGAGTGTTGTTTCGCGTACACTTGAAGAGATATCAGAACTAGCAACTGTGATATCACCCACTACAGGCTATTTTGTGTTTCCCTTCTCGCAAGTGTGAGTTTTTTTCTCCCGGTGCTCTGGTTTTGTTTCCCCCACATGTAAACACTCACGAATCGACCGATAACGCCTTAATATACAGAGGGCCTCAAAGCTTGGGCAATTTTTGGCAACCACTTGTCACGTGGCTGCCTTCCTGCTTGTCAATGGTTCCTTGCGCCTCCAAGTCGTTCTCTCTATGAGGGCGAGCCAATACTGTGCACGTTACAAGTTGAAATTATCGTAACTTATCATTACTATTATTATCATGGGATGATGGCTGCGTTCCGCGAGAGTTTCAATTGGCGGTTATTGCAAACATGATGCCTTGAATAAAGGTGTCAGTTTTGTACCAGTTTAAAAGGGTAAAACCTACTACTATATTTTGCCACTGGTAAAAGAGATATCATAGTGTAAATGCTTACCCCGAGCTCTCAATACTCTGATATTGCACTGTGTTTGAGTTGTACGCCTTCTGGTGTCATCTGGTCCAACACCAATGGGGACTAGGCTCTAAAGAAAGCCGTCTCGGGTGTGGACCAATCAACTTCAAGGATAGTGCATATTATTATCATTATCAGAGTTGCTTCTTTTTTGTTTGCTTTTTTGACTACTTGTGTTGTGGTTATTGCAAACATGATGCCTTGAATAAAGGTGTCAGTTTTGTACCAGTTTAAAAGGGTTAAAACCTACTACTACGAATAAAATTGGGTAAAAGAGAAACAATTCCTGAATGCATTGGCTTTGTTTGTTGTCCTAGCCCCGCATCTACATTTAGCGTCGGTTGGCTACGTACGCTACCAAATAGATTCAACAGAGTACATGCATAGCTGTAGAGTAATGTGAAATCACAGTCATGCGAATGATTATCCATGAAGTTATAACGATTTGCATTGAAACATCCTCAACGCGATTGAAGACTTTTTTCAGGATTTTTTGGACAATCTTTTTTCTCAGCGCAATGAATAATGCCTACATCACGAGTGCCACCTCTACCTTTTTGAAGGGCGAGCCGCCCACGCATTGTCATTAAAGGTTTCTCCACAGATTGCAAATACATTACTCTCGTGAATGGTGTGTAATGTGTTTTATCCTTTCTGTTAAAGGAGCACTTTAACTTTACCTGGCGCTCTTTGTGACCAGTAATTCAAGTCCGAAAAGATTCGCATCCGGTGACATTATCCAGCCATTGTTCAGACGGCAAACAAAGACATTGGCTTTGTTGCTGCTCATATATTATATAAAACAATGGTAAAGGTGCAGTCCTGCATTTGGTTTCTCATGGCACTGTCCTCTAGAGCAGGTGGTTCTCAACCCGTTTTGTACTACTGTAACCCATTGTTGAATTTTTTGTTGCAGAAATAAAAGTAGACGTACGTATGTTGGGCTTCTTTCGCACCACCGTACGTAGCCAACCGTGCTAATCAGAGGTGCAGACGAAGTACAAACTATGTGTCTCTGTGTGAGTCCATGTGTCTGTGTGAGTCTATGTGTCTCTGTGTGAGTCCATGTGTCTCTGTGTGAGTCCATGTGTCTCTGTGTGAGTCCATGTGTCTCTGTGTGAGTCCATGTGTCTGTGTGAGTCCATGTGTCTCTGTGTGAGTCTATGGGTCTCTGTGTGAGTATATGGGTCTCTGTGTGAGTATATGGGTCTCTGTGTGAGTCTATGGGTCTCTGTGTGAGTCCATGTGTCTCTGTGTGAGTCTATGGGTCTCTGTGTGAGTCTATGGGTCTCTGTGTGAGTCCATGTGTCTCTGTGTGAGTCCATGTGTCTCTGTGTGAGTCTATGTGTCTCTGTGTGAGTCTATGTGTCTCTGTGTGAGTCTATGGGTCTCTGTGTGAGTCCATGTGTCTCTGTGTGAGTCCATGTGTCTGTGTGTGAGTCCATGTGTCTCTGTGTGAGTCCATGTGTCTGTGTGAGTCCATGTGTCTGTGTGAGTCTATGTGTCTCTGTGTGAGTCCATGTGTCTGTGTGAGTCCATGTGTCTGTGTGTGAGTCTATGTGTCTCTGTGTGAGTCTATGTGTCTCTGTGTGAGTCTATGGGTCTCTGTGTGAGTCTATTGGTCTCTGTGTGAGTCTATGTGTCTCTGTGTGAGTCTATGTGTCTCTGTGTGAGTCCATGTGTCTCTGTGTGAGTCTATGTGTCTCTGTGTGAGTCCATGTGTCTCTGTGTGAGTCTATGTGTCTCTGTGTGAGTCTATTGGTCTCTGTGTGAGTCTATGTATGTTGAACGTCTTTTGCACCGTAGGTAGCCAACCGTGCTAATTGGAGGTGCAGAGGAAGGACAACAAACTATACACAGGAAGCAGTTTCAGCAGTCTGTGGCATATATCTATGCTACGGACCTTAAGCAAGCAGAGGAAATGTGATGTAATATACTTACAAACAGTGCTTGGTACGCTCTTTCAAAGAACGCAAAGGAGGTTGCAATGGGAACGGATGGACTTCCACCATCATCAACTTGTGGATTTACAGAATCTCCTGTTGTCACTCCATATGGGTAGAAATGTGAAAGAGCTGAAATAGAGAAAAACGAAACAAGGAATAACGATATCACACTTTCCTAAAAAGTAGGATCCATGCACATTTATAAGTCATGGCTATAATTCATGCACACGGAAATGTTTGAGTTAATGCGGTTGTAATTACAAATGTGTGTGCATGGTTTAGGTCCATTGCAATTGTTTTACAATATTTGTCTTGTCAACTAAACTAACCTGTAATTGTATTTAGCATATACTAATCAGAAGTCCGTTCCTTGTCTCCACATATACATATGGATATATGGTTTAGTCCATCGGCCTATCAACCTCATATATTTTCAAGCAGACCAATATTTTCAAACGACATTTTTTTTAAACCAAGCAAACTGTCTGGAGCTCCCGCTCCACCCTCCGTAACTTCTGCAAATCACGACTCAAAACTTAAAAAAACATATTTTTTATTATTTTTCTTTTTCTTTCTACGTGACTTTACCGAAAGAACCAAAGAATATTTGGTACAAGGACGCTAATGGACAACCAATGTCTTGCAAAAGAGTATTCTGTTTAATTGCAGTATATTGTGAAGTATTTATTTCATGTAAACTGAAAAAATATATAATCAGCCTAATTACTACCAATGAAAACAGTAAAATGGACTATAAGAATACACTTCCAGAACAGAATTTTAGAATGAAACTGAATATTTACTGTCACTTTTGGAATCGGAATCTTTATTTAACTGTACTTTTACTCCAACATCACATTGCAATCATGCAACCGTATGATCGGTTTTATGCTATAACAAAATTCAGAGTTTTCTCTTACATGTTTTTTGTTCTTAAATTCTCCTACTAATGTTCAAAATTAAAAGCAGGTAAGAGAACATCGCTCATAACCAAATCAGGGTTGAGCCTTGAAAGTGCTTGAAGAGATACCCATAATGCAGTTGGCATTATGCTACCCATAATGCAGTTGGCATTATGCTACCCATAATGCAGTTGGCATTATGGGTAGCAGAGGGCAGGAAAATCCATTGTTACACTCGACTTCAATTCTTCCACATCTATGCTGTCCGTCTTGACAACCCGCATTGACCAGCACAATGAAGTATGGTCAAACAGCCCGCACGACCGAAGGGAGTAGGGAGGTTTTCATCCGTCAGTGGAATGATAGAGGTTGTATTACAAACAATACGTACAGGCAGTCCACGGGTTGCGGAAGACCCGACTTACGGAAATCTGACATTACGTACATTCTCCCATAAATCGTGTAAAAAAATTCGACACGTGAAAAGATGTTGCGTTAGTTTCGTAAGCGCAAGAAGTGCAGCGCGGTGAGGTTGCCGATGAACACTGTGGAGCCAGGAGGCGCAAGGCTGGCAGTCGCCTTACGCCTCGTTCGAGCTTTACTCGTATTGAGGTCAATGGAATTAATATTGAATTTTGGGGGAAAATTGTTCAGTTGCCGACATACGTAAAATTCGGGTTACCGATCGTTCTCAGGAACCTAACCCTTCTGTAACCCGGGGACTGCCTGTACTTAAGTATCATTTGTTGTGTGCTCGGTGAGTGTAAATAGATGATCAACAAGCACGCGTCCAAAGTCACTTTGGCCGACTGCCAGAAGTTCGAGACGGAGGCTTTTGTGGTAATTTATTTGTGAGCTTCTCAACAAGTCCAAGAGGAGGTTCACATTTTTTTTCCTCCTCGTTGACAATAATCAAATACACACTTAGCAAATACTGGATTTAGATGAACCCCCATGTTGGACAAGGGCGTTGTGACTGACCCAGATGAGCCGAGTACACGGGGAGAATGATTGTATTTGCCTAAGGGGTATATAAAATGAGGAACTGAGTCATCTCAAGTGAGCTCAGGGGAATGTTGTATACATGTGGCAAGCTTGGATGTGATGTGGCAAGCTCGGACATGGCTTTTGACTTGGGCCGATTAGACTTTGCGGTGAACTTCCCCTCCGGTCTCGCCCACTCACACCGCCTCTCTCGGGACTTTGGGCAGTTACAAATGGAACTTGGCAAACAATTTGTCGCACTGTTTGGCTACGTACGGTGCGAAAGAAGTTCAACATACATACATACTGATTGACCAATGTGTTTACACGCCCTTTATTTTTTTGGGCTTAACCTACGCTCATTATTCTTAAACAAGGGGCAATGTTGATTTTGTCTGGTTTACACCGGAGATCGAGAGGCCCACGTTGGATACACAGCCAGAACGAAAACAAATAAATAGAGGAACAAGGTGAATTAAAACATGTACCACAAAATGCATTATTGGCTGAATTAAATTATCATCGAATACAATTATATAGAGATAAATAAAACACCCGTTCGTGTTAAGATCTGTGTAATGTATTTAAGTCACTTCACGCACTATGTTTTGTCACCATGGCACATACAGCTCAGTAACCCTCGCGTCTTTCACACCCCATATTCAGAGTTTAGGCGATTGCATATGTTCTGTTGTATCTAAAGAATCGAAGTGCAATGTCCATATCCAAAACAAGCTTCGGGCATTCTGAGCCAGTGGTGAATTTTCACATTCCTTATGACTGGAACCCAAGTCTCCACCTGACATCAACCTCACCAAGTGGTGCAGTACAACCTCATCATGTGGAACTCACTTTACAACCCCTGTGGGAATGATGATGATGGCGATAATGGTGAGGAGTCACATCGAAACGTGATATATATGACAGGATTGTATGTGTCACGTGCGGTATGGGGCCGTCCATAAATGACGTCACGCGATTTTGGACGATTTTACCCCTCCCCCTTCGTCATACGACGTCACAAAAAGTCAGACCCCCCCCCCTCAAATATGACGTCACAAAGCTCTGCCCCCCCCCCCCAAAATAATGCTTCAAATCGCTTTAAACTATTGTCATTGTAGTGCGTATTTAATGTGGCGCTGCACTCTGATGTTGTAGGAGAAAACATTTATCAAATAGTCTATTTAATTAAGTAGAACGTGTTGTCTATATTTATCTAAAGTTGCGCATTTTGATGTGACGTCACATTGATCAAACCCTCCCCCCCCTCTCGTCACATCGTCACAAATGTCTGACCCCCCCCCCCCCCAGGTGCGTGACGTAATTTATGGACGGCCCCTATAACGTTTCACAGAGGATCAGGCGTCGTTATTTCAGTGGCGTGCACGGTTGGCTACGTACGGTGCGTAAGAAGTTCGACATACATACGCGCAAGCTCACAGAGCCAGGCCAATAAGGGAGCCCGAATCTTGTTAATGATCCCCGAGGCAATGTTCGAATGCTTCGTAAAACTTCGGACACAACGTTGCTCACCGCCCCCCCCCCTAACTATGCCACTAATGTGAGGCATTGCCCAAAAATAAACTCACGAGCGAGTTTAACGTGCAAAGAAATGTGCACGTAAAATAAAACACATGCAATAACAAACAAATATAAGCGGAAACTTATAGCAACTAACCCTAAGGCTGTCCCATAGGTGCGTGAACTTACAAAGATCCCCCGTGTAGCCTTAACAGACTGTAGGGGCAAGTGCTGTTAGCGAGCACCTATGAAGGCCGGAACGGCACACGAGGGGGTGGGTGGCCAGCACCACGCCCGACCGCCTTTGTCTCCCTAGTGGCGATGTTTACACACCGCACCAGGCACTCATTTGAGGCTGAGTCGACCTAGGGGAGGCCCAGGACCGGTTCAGATAATCGTCACTGGGTGTTGGCCGTGAGCGGGAATCGAACCCGGGTCGCAGGGTTCGTAGCGCAGCGTAGCGCTAACCGCTGCACCACCGCTCCCCAGTGAACTTACACCCACACTCACACAAGCTCTAGCTGGGGTTGCCACCTCTGTGGTAAAACTAAACCACCCGGTATATATCCAGAAGAAGAACAAACTGCTTGGGTCGTGTATTTATTTCGAAAAGATAGCAGGAAGCCTGACACATTATTTTAAAAAACACAGAAGCACGACGATTCTGGGAAAAAAAAAACGATGGCAGGAAGCAAACCTCGTTCTAGCGCACGTGGGCGTGCGCTCACGGGCACGCGGTCTAGCGCACATATTGCGCTGGAACGCAGCCGTGGCCTCTAAACGAACTTATATATACACCCCGATGACACACTCGTGAAATAAAACCAAAAACATCTCCCCAGGGGTTTTATATCTGCTGTAAAGGATGGTCATTACCCGAAATGTCGCCAATTTTATACTCTGTGTAGTGACACAAACAACTCGATACACTCGTCAATCACACTGCCTTGAAATAAACTATATAATAGGCGACGTTTTGGGCAATTGCCCTTCTTCACGTGCTATTGGAGAAGGGCAATTTCCCGAAACGTCGTTTATTAAATATCTTTCTTTATTTTTAAGGCCACAGTGTTGTTGACGAATATCTTGAGTTATTTTTGTTATTTGTGCATGTCCACCAATGGCGGGTGAGATTGGAAGTGGGCTTGTTTAAGGGAATGTATTGTTTCCACCTAAACTTGTGTGAAGAGTCCACAGACGGAGGCAGAACTGGATGAATCTCAAGAGCTGCAAAGCTCTATCTCACAAACGGAGAAACGGACTTCGGAATATTCCCCGGGTATATGTCATGAAAAAAATGGGTAAGGGGCCGTCCATAAATGACGTCACGCGATTTTGGACGATTATACCCCCCCCCCCTTCGTCACACGACGTCACAAAAAGTCAGACCCCCCCTCAAATATGACGTCACAAATCTCTGCCCCCCCCCCCCAAATAAAACATGCTTCAAATCGCTTTAAACTATTGTCATTGTAGTGCGTATTTAATGTGGCGATGCACTCTGATGTTGTAGGAGAAAACATTTATTAAAAAGTCTATTTAATAAAATAGAACGTGGTGTCTATATTTATTTAAAGTTGCGCATTTTGATGTGACGTCACATTTCTCAAATCCCCCCCCCCTCGTCACACATCGTCACAAATGTCTGACCCCCCCCTTCCCCGTAGGTGCGTGACGTCATTTATGGACGGCCCCTAATTATATGTTCGTATAAAGCAGTGGTTCTTAACCTGGTGTGGACGCACCGCATGGGGGTGCGAGATGCCCTTTCTTGGGGCGCGAGGCATGGCCAGATGATGTAAGAAGGTAAATTATTCTACAGTTTTATATCTAAGGTTTAAGGAACTGACCTACTTCGACGTTTTTTTTTATCCAGTTGGGTGCAGGCTGCAGTCAAGGTTAAGCACCATTGGTCTAAATCTTGATTTGAAGCTTTCGTGACTGCAGGAATCCATACTCTCTGGTTCTTTCGGTAAAGTCACGTAGGTAGAAAAATAAAAGCAAACATAAAATAATATATCACGATGTTTTGATCGCAACACAAGCGGTTGTCCTCAGGCGGAAAAAATATAATCCAGCAGTGGAACTGCTGAACCAGCGAGAGAGCTGACGGACGACCGTTTGTGTTGCGATCGACACGTCGTGATGTATTTTATTTTGTTTTATTTTATATTTCTACCTACGTCACTTTACCGAAATAACAAAAGAGTATGGATTCCTGCAGTCACGAAAGCTTCTAATCAAGATTTAGACCAATGGTGCTTTAACCTTGACTGCAGCCTGCACCCAACTGGTTCTCAAAATTAGTTCTCGCACCCCGGATAAAAAAAATAGTTGAAGTAGGTCAGTTCCTTAAACCTAAGATATAAAACTGTAGAATTATTTACCTTCTAAAATCATCTGGACATATCTCTAAAGTAAGTCACAGGGTCACGGCATTCCTCTGTTAAAAGCACCGTACATTCTTCAAGTAAACAATTGTGGCCTGTATACTTTACTTCAATGTTCAGAGGGGATCTGTACAATATGCAACGCGTTGTTTAAATGTACCCGTTAGTGTCCTCGTGTACCGCGTACATGTGGGTGAGAGAGCTAGAGTAGAATGCACAACGGACAACAGCGAATCGCATCTGTGACTCCGCCTGTTTTTGCGGTTAGCATTCGTTGACTTTGTTTATAACGTTGAGTTGAGTTTTTTGTTTGCAGCTACCTTTAAACAGTCACATTACCGGGTTGGCTTTGGACACCCACAAGAGTCGAAGGTTTGCGTACAGATTCTGCGGGCATGCTTCGAAAAACTCGGTTCTTGAACAATGGGGTCAATGTCATTCGCAGAGCGATCTTAGTCACATTGATAAAAGACTGACCGTCGTCAATAAAACTACCTTAAAAGATAACTAAACTTGTGACATCATGGGTAATGGCCCCCGTATATTGCCAGAAAACGTCACCTATTATATATTACTACTAGGCATATACAGTAGCTTGTTTTAAGGAAGTTTTATTGACGCATGTGTTTAGTTTTCATAAATCGTGCTCGTGCACCATTAACATCTACTCCTATTTACTCACCGCTAACGCAGTCTTGCAATAACATGTACTCATATTGCTGTTAGCATTCACTGAGACCTCGGAATATAAGCAAGGATAGTGCTTAGGATGGGTAACCACCAGGCACAGCTGCAGGTTGTTGTCGTCTGCTGCGAGGCTAGGTTAAGTGGGCATTGTAGCAAACTCCGTTAAGTGTGATCAAACGACACCCCTCCCCCCAGTGCCGGATTAAGCTAGTGCGGGGCCTATAGCATATTATGTTATAAAGGGGCCTTAAATAATAAAATATATTAACACAAATTTTTACTTGCGTTATTTTATTTCTAACTACGTGACTTTACCGAAAGAACCAAAGAGTATGGATTCCTGTTCAAATCAAGATGAAAATAATTGTCTTTTTTTCATTTGCTATACAGCCAGATAATACAACAAATCGCTAACCTTAAACAACTAGTCGTTCATAAAAATTGAAGGCAGTATAGTACTATAGTAATAGAGCAAGTGAAGAATAACTGAACCGGAATTGATAGCTTGAAATCATTTAGTGCGGGGCATATGTCGTTACTTTTGCTACTAGGCTAATCCGGCACTGCCCTTCCACACCCCACGATGTGCACAGCGTTGGGATGAGGCCATCATCATCCAGCAGTGGATTGACAGAGGGCTGTGCGTGAACATCACGTGGGGATGCAGAGTACTGTGCTCACCTGACACCTTGGCCAGCAACACCATCAGCAGCAGCCCCACCGAACGACGAGCCATCGCTGCTCAGCCTAGGAGGAGTTCAAAAAATCAATTTGAAAGGGGGCATAGACACTGTTAATTGTAACTTGCTGAGCCGCCAATGCTGGAGATCTGTGACAAAAAAGAGCTTCATAGCTCATCGGATTTCTTCTCGTCTAAATCAAGATTCTGATTCTGAAGTTGTTCACGTTATCGATACGTGTGTGCTGTCTAATGTCTGAAATCTGTATGCGTTGTCTAAACGTGTGTGTGTGTGTGTGATTCTGAGATATGACCCAGCAGAATTTTTTTTGTACTCCGTTATATATTCGACTATTCCTACCGTTTTTGTGTTTTAGCAAAATACGAATGTTTTGTTTAGTAAGTATATCGTACGTTAGTGTATTACCCACTACTGCAAAGATAGCAACATATACCTGTTTAGAATCGATATCTGTTGTTTACGCAAATGTTATGTTACACAAATGTGGCGGTGCTACTGCTACTGCTGCGTTGGCAGTGGTTACACCAGCAGCGTTAACGAGGAATACTCAACAACGCATTCGTCAATCACACTTCCTTGAACGAACACATTTATTTAGGGTGACATTCTGGGCAATGGCACATGAAGAAGGGTCATCGCTCGACACGTCGCCTTTCGTATATGTCTTGCTTTTAAGGCGGTGTTATTGAGGAATTACACGTAAGATTCGAGCCATGCGATCAAATTATTAAAGTTAAAATACCGATAGCTCAAGACCATTTGAAAATAATGTACTCACAATTATCGTAAATTAGAAGGCAGCAAATATGAATGCAAAAAAATACAGCTTTCTACATCAAAGACTATAGACGTCTGTCCCACGCCTTCATCAACTCGCACTGACCAGCGTGGTGAAGTATGGTCAATCAACCCTCAATCCAGCAGTGGATTGACAATTCAAGGAAAACTGCCAAATAATATGAACAAGAAAACATGTACCAAGAACAAAAAAAACGAGATTAAAGTTTTCAGCCGTTGTATCACTCCACTGCTGGATGAAGGCCTCCCCCATGCTGTGTTGGTTGTGAAGGTTGTTTGACCATACTTCACCACGCAAGTCAATGCAAGTTGAAGGAGGGGCGAGGACTGCGACCGGTTCAGAAACCACTCGCCATTGACGTGATAGCCGCACAGCGCTAATCACCGCGCCACCACTTCACCCCAATATGCCACTATTACAGCTAAATAATAATGATGGTGATATCTATATACAACAATTACAATACAACGAAATAAAAGATTGATTTATACTGCAGGAATCCGATTAGTTGTAACGCTCTTTTTCACAGATGTCCAGGCGGGGCGGGTAAGAACGTTGCAATAACAAGCACAAAATAACAAACAGTACAACATTTGCAATTATCATATAGAATGCACACAACAGTAACATGTTAACAGATGGTGGGCAGAGCGAAAGGCTTTGTACGAGTGGCTGATTTCTTACCAAGAGAGAGGCACCCACACACGCCACTGCTTCACGTGGGTAGAGGGGGGGATTCGGAGATGAATCCAGTAGGTGTGTGTAACTGAATGCTCACACCTCGTAGAAGTGAGGAACGGCTGTGGTTTTTATACCCCCTTCAGCGGATATGATTGCACAACGCCTATCAGGTGAAGCAACTTCCCAAATAATGTAGCTTTATTACGCTCTGTGGAAACACCCAGAACATCGATAAACAACACGAATGAAACAGTCGAGTAGTAATCCGCCCTGGGCACGTTCAGACTACAGATGATTTGCATAATTCTTTCCTGTTTTTTTGTAGTTTGGGTAAAGAGATGTATCCAGTAAACATCGAACGTTGGGTGGACGTTCGTTCAACGTTTCCACATACCAACGTTGTTTACCAGGTCGCTGATTTGAGGGCCAACTGACACGTAAGACCAAAACTGAATATTAAATCTTCAATTATGTTTGTATTCGTATTTTCTTTTGGCCGCCATATCAATTAGTAGATTTTCAATGTAATAAAAAAAAATTATTTGGAAGCGTTATCGACAAATTTGTTTAGGTTTTGTTGTGTGTGCTTTGCGCACTACTGCCAACGCAGTATCACAAAATAAATGCTCTAATTAGGTAACATTTGCCTGTGATTAAATCACATGCAATGCGCCACACATGTCCGTCAGGTCTCGGGAAGATAACCGTGGCTTTACCTGGGTAGTGCATGGAAAAATGACCACCATGCATGGCACAGGTGTGTCGAGGCTGGTGTTGGGGCATTTTGAACTTTGCCACAAAAATCTTCAACTTTTGCTTCCCTGAAATATGACATTGAAATTTAGGTAGCTTTTTTGCACGGATATCCAAATACCTTTTATTCACAAAAACAAGACGAAACATCATTCATATACGTCGATTATTTATTTCCCTCTCTACACATGCGTTCGTACTTAAGTGTTGCTTATTTTTAGAGACGGTTAATGACTGAAACTGTTGTTGGTCATCTTCTTGGTTCTTTCGGTAAAGTCACGTAGAAGGGAAATAATACAATAATACAAATAAAACATAATAAAATAGAATTCTCACGACGTTTCGGCCACAACGCAAGCAGCCGTCCTCAGGTGAAGAACAGGTGTTCGCAAGCAGCCGTCCTGTTCTTCACCTGAGGACGGCTGCTTGCGTTGTCGTGAGAATTTTATTATGTTTTATTTTTATTCTTTTATTATTTCCCTTCTACGTGACTTTACCGAAAGAACCAAGAAGATGAATCCCTGCAGTCACGAAAGCTTTAAATTGTTGTTGGTCAGTAAATGTCGCTGGAAAGGATGATGGCCGAATGTATGAATGGTTAACTTCGTTCGCACCGTACGAAGCCAACCCTGCTAATCGGAGGTGCGGGGGAAGAACGACATCTCAATAACGATGACGTGGCAGCCAAGGAATGGAACGTGTCTGAGAGGACGTCCATGCTTGGAGATGTCGCGATGACACCAACTGGTGTGCAGATGCTAGGTCTCGATATATATTTATAATTTTATTTCAACAAGAGCCTGATACAGAACATAAACCCCGACGTGCGAGGAGTGTCACGTAAACAAAATCTATGCTCCTGCACAATCAACAGAAATCAGAATATGTATTTATACCGGAGGAGGAATCCGGTGAGCTATACAGTTCTTGTTCACAGATGTCCAGTAAGGGCGGGTAAGAACGTTCAAACAACAAACAGTACAAATTATTTGGATCTTTCGGTAAAATCACGGAGATAAGTTCAAAGAAAATAACAAAATACAAAAAAAAGCTACGACGTTTCGAACGCAACACAAGCGGTCGTCTTCTTTGTTGAACCTATCCACGTGACTTTACCGACAGACCCAAAGAATATGATTTCCTGCAGTCACGAAATCTTTAAGTCAAGATTTAAACAGTGCAAACACTTGATAGTAGTGCAAAGTTCAAGAAAGGTAAAAAAAATCACCCAAACACATACAAATAAAACGAAACCATCCCCATCCTACCAGGCAAAGCCCACTGAGATATTAACTTATTTTTCAGAAGTGACTTGGCCATAAATGGCAGCTCAACAATGTGGCTTCTTATTTGCACATTTATAGCAGCAAAACAATCGAAATAATCTCAATGCATGTTTCTAAATGTGGAGGGAAAATCCAGAGGACCCGGAGGTAAAAAAAAAAATCCACGCGACCCCCGGGGAGAGAGAGACACGCAGACTCCAAACATTGCCAGAAAGGGGAAACCCTATGGTCATACAGGTGGGGTTGGGGATCGGGGGTCTATTGTTAAATCACAGGAACGCCAGAAATGGTGGCGGGCTTGCCGAGGCCTCTACGCAAGTGGTGGATCGATCATGGCTGATGATGATGATGGATTTGCCTTTAGCATTCGAGTCGGAGAACGCACCTCCCGTTAGCACGGTTGGCTACGAATGAAGTTCAACATACACGCGCATATACAAGACGCTCGATGCTGCGAGTAAAGACGATCCTCTGGACGTGTGCGTGTGGCGTCAAACAAAAAGGGCTTACCGTTTCATACCAGTTTTTGGGGGGGATTTATTACCCGTTGTCTACAGGTTAGTTTTCCCTGACAGCCAACACAACTTTATAATACAATGTAGTCTTTATTGGATTATATATGTTTCAGAGTTGATCGTAATCGCACTAAACAGGTAACATTGGCCCAATGTTGGCCCAACATTCATGTTTACTGGGACTTCACTTTACAGATATAAGGAAAGAAATACAAAGCTCACGCATGAACATTTTTAACCTACGTCGGAAATTGCTCGAGTCATGATTATGACCTCATTTACCTGAGTGCTTTTAACAGCCTGGACAACAAGACAATTGTAATGCAACATACCACAGCATCTATTTCCATCAATGCTTACGTAATAATGTTGACTCAAAGCATTCATGACTGCAGGAATTCACATTCTTTGGGTCTTTCGGTAAAGTAACGTAGATAGGTTCAAAGAAAATAACAAAAAAACTAAAAACTACGACGTTTCGATCGCAACAGAAGCGGTCGTCATGACGGCTTATTTTTCAGAAGTCAAGACGACCGCTTGTGTTGCGATCGAAACGTCGTAGTTTTTTTGTTATTTTCGTTGAACCTATCTACGTGACTTTACAGAAAGACCCAAAAAATGCGTAATAATGCTTGTTGAACTCTGCAAATATTAAATGTTGAAGTGTATATTTACCTTTGTCAGACACGTGTTTGCATTGCCATTTTTTTGTTGTGGATGAAGGAAGCGGTGTTTGTTCAGAACGGAGCGAGACGATGTTTGACGACGACATTAAGACACCGAGTCGAATACCAGCACAGCTGAGGTGCTGCCTTCATATTTGACAGGGACACGTGGTTGGAACCGCTGGACCAGCGTTAGCTCAACGTTTCACGTTTGCTATAAAAAAACGATCATCGACCGCGGTGGGCCGTGAAGCAGTGATTCGCGGGCACCGAGAGAAAACAACCCCACCGATTTGAGGTTTGTCTCCCGGCCACAGCTAAACAATGAAGGCTGCCCCCCCCCCCCCCCCCACCAGTACACTGACCCAGTATGCTGAGGTATGGCCAAACAATCCAGATGGCCAATATGGCATGGGAAGTGCAATCCAGGAGCGGATTGACACAGCGCAGTGATGTGGTTATTATTCGTTCAATGTATCACCGCCGTGCTATGAGATCATAAACTTTTCCAGTTAGCGTGGGGAGTTTTAAAAACCATAAATGTAACTTCATGGCGGAACCCCGGGGTCCTTTAATCCCCTGGCTCTCGCATAAACATATTATAATGTAAACTAAAAAAAAATTGTAAATGTTGTGGTTTCACGCTTCAACACACCGGTGGGCTAAAGCAGTGAACTATTTGTCTTTTGTCAACGTGACACTTTTTTACTTATTGGCCGTGTCGGGTGGTGGAGGGTTACGACACATTTATAAATAACGCGATCTAAACCCAAAAACGTTGATTATGAATAATATTGGTCGCGAAAGCCTACGTGTTAAACTAAACTATAACTTTGCTCGTTTTCACCAATGGGTTTTAAGGATGGTGGCAAGTGTTGTCTTGTTAAACTATGCATTTAAAACTGAAAACTACTTACCTGCAGTACCTCTATTTAAATACACTATCGAAAAAATAATTTACACCCGTCTGTCAATCATCGTTTTTCTCAGTGTGGATTTGTGAACACATTTTGTAAGCAGTACATGAAATAGTACGCGTTTTCAGTGCGCTGTTCATATTGTAACAAGCGTTAATACAAATGTTACTCTACGAGCGGTATGTGGGGACTATGGCTTAACCGCGAAAAAAAACCGATCTGCACATGCATATGGACAAGAGAAGTAGTATCAAACAGGGGGAATTAACGGTGCAACGCATCTCATATGTTAAATATCTGCAGGTAATAAGATTGTCATCGATTGATCCTGGCTGCAGACATTGGTAGGTCACAAATAATAACACTGTGTAACAAATTTTTATTTATTTTTTGTTCCTGGGTAGTAAGTGTTATTTCCTTATTGCTTATGCCTAAAAAGTACAGAAAATGGCTATTATTCCCCACAAACTTTGCTTCTGTGACCAGGATGGTGATATTTTGAAATGTACCTATATTCAATGAGAAAATCAGAAAAAAGACAACATATTAATAAAAACTAACATGTATTTATACTAAAGTAATAAAAAAATTACTACGAAAGATTTAGACACCAAGGCGCAGTACCACAGGCGGGACTGGCCACAACGGACCGAGTTCTCTGTGGGGAGGAACAACGTCAAGTGGCAGCCACTGGTGCACCCCCGGAAGGTGCTGATGCCACCACTGCACAAATTGGGCCTTATGAAACAATTTGTCAGAGCTGTAGATAAGGAGTCGGCAGCCTTCAAGTACCTTCAAGACTTCTTCCCTAAGCTGTCTGAGGCAAGGGTCATTAGTAAGAAGCAAACTAGTAAGGATAAATCGGCTTGGAACAGCTTTGTCGCAGTGGTTCATGGCTTCCTGGGCAATCACAAGATCGAAAACTACGTGGAGCTGGTTGAGACTCTGGTGAAGAACTACGGCACAATGGGCTGTAGGATGTCCCTCAAAGTCCATATCCT